CAGCCGTGGATGGATATATACCTATGGTCTCAGCAAACCACATATATCAATATTAACTCTAAAAAATACAAACGACACGTTTTCAGTGAGACAGCTGTTACGAAAATGAGAAGTAGGGTTTTATTAAACAATGTAAAACGTAAACGCAATAAAAAAAAAAGTTAAATTTGACATTTAATTAAATATTATCATCTCGTATCGTTAATGTCACATTAACTTAAAACATGAACAATTCAGTCAATAGCCTCTTCGACATATGGATCAACATCAATCAGCACGTCATCATCAACATCACAATCCATGTCATAATCACCATTAGTTTCTGAGAGGGACAGGCGGGTTTCCTTTTGTATCGTATTTTCACCAACGTCACTTAACATGATTTCGCTTTCATCATCACTACATTTTTTGCAATCGTCATCACCCTTGCAACCTCCTTTCTGCAATTCAGTCGCACAGTTCAAATCATCGGCGCCGGCATCGTCGTTGCAGTTCGCATCACAATCCTCCACCTCATTTAAGCCATGTACATCACCGACTGTACTGCTGTTATTCATGGCAATATGATCACCACTGTGGTCGCTTAATAAAATATCATCGTCGTCCTCAACACTTTTAAGATTTTTATCACGGCTCCCAACCTCACCAAAGAAGGAATCACAATCATTGTCGCCGGTATCATCAGGCTCCATTTTTCCAACATTCACCGATTGAGCATTCGCGACAGCATCAAGGTTGACTTCATTTTCAGCAACGCATTCATCTTCATTCTTCTCATAGCAATCGTCATCATTCTTTTCAACACAATCATTTTCGTTCTCGATGCAACCAACATTATTCTTTATATCACAATCATATTCATCCTCAACACAATTATTTTCATTCCTTTCATCATAATCATTTTTGTTCTCAACACAAGCGTTTGCAGCACAATTATTTTCACTCTCGACACAACCATCATTCTTTTTATCATGATAACTTTCCTTCTCAATGCAATCATTTTCAACGCAATTATTTCCATTTTCAATGCAATCATCTTCATTCTCTTTATCACAATCATTTTCAATCTCAACACAATCATTTTCATTCTCATCGCAATCATTTTCATTCTTTTTATCACAACCATTTTCATTCTCAATGCAATCATTTTCATTCTCAATGCAATCATTTTCAATCTCAACACAATCATTTTCATTCTCAACACAATCATCTTCATTCTTTTTATCACAACCATCTTCATTCTCATCGCAATCATTTCCAATCCCAGCGCCATCATTTTCATTCATTTCATCACAATCACTGTTATCTTCAACGCAAACATTTTCCTCCTTTTGAAAAGACTCACCTATACCTCCTTCCCTTTCATCACCAACATCATCATTTCTGTTCACCCCAACACAGTCAACAGCTTGACTCATCTCGATGCAATCAATTTCATCATCGGCATTCATCTCTACAGGATTATATCCATTCTCGACGTGATCCACTTCCTTCTTCACAAATTCGGCATCTTCATCCTGAAAACAAGTCTCCGAATTTTCAGTATGGCTATCAGGATTAGCAGTTACATTATCATCGCGATCATAGTCAACGGAGTTGATCAAAGATGCAGTCTCTCCGGGTACAACATCATAAGCAACTTTATCACTGACGTCGGCAGGATCACTACACACTGTTACATGTTCATTACATTCTAGAGATGCATTAACTTTTGAAATGCCAGAGTCAGTGCCACTCTCTTCCATCTCTACTTTCACTTCGAAATCCCTTTCCTCATCCTCCGTAGCCCCTTCTCTGACGTCATCAATGATCTCACCAATGACGTTACCACTGGTATAGACTGCATGTTCGTCTATGACGTTGTTATTATCATCCGTACACTCGTCTCCAGGTTCCTGTAGAAGACATTTATAAATAAATACTTAAATAAATAAATCGTATCCGTTTGAATTTTAATTTAAAATGATACATTAAAAAACAATTTTGCAATCATTTAAATATTTAAAAGAAATCTTAATAAAATCAAAAAAATAAAACCGTTTTAATGGACACATCATCAGCTTCGTGGGTGGTTGTATGTTGTTGTTGAATGGCACGACGGGGAACACTGTTACGTCTCTTTTTCCTCATTGCTTTCCTCTCCCTTGCAATTTTTAGGCTATCCCGCTTATCTGAATGTGGGTCAAGATGGTATATACAATAATGACGATTATATTGAGGATAACAATTGTTATGATGATTGTTATAAAGCATGTAGTGATGATGATAACGCCATCAAGACTGACGATGATTAGTGAAGTTGTTGAGGAGAAAGTAACGGTGACGCAATATGTGATAATGATGATTAAAATGATGATAGTGACTATCTTGTAAACGACATAGACCGACCAATCTTTCTGATCGTTGAAAAAGTTCTGTTCAACAGTTCGTCCAGGCACTCTCCTACGACTGTTTCAACAGGGAACACGCAGTCCAGAACATCCTCAATTATTGACCGACACATCTCTACTGGGGTTGGTTCACGCCCTTTGTCAATCATGCACCTACCTGAGTTAAATAACCATCAAAATACTACACCAATTTCAAAATAAACTAATGATTAATTAATTCAAAACTGCTACGATTTAATAAATAAGCATTTAAAATGACTAAAATGAAAGGACAACTTTTTCTATTGGTTGATGGAGAACTGCCTGTTTGCATTCCATAGCTGACACAGCTCTCTTCATCTTCCTGCTTAACTGAACAACAAATATCACTCATTGTAATAGTTAATGCAAACAGCGTTAATGATGCACCGGTAAGTTATCTCGGTGTATATATTATAATTATCAATGTTGCTACCAACGGCACTTTAACAATTTTTACAAATATTTTAAAAAAAATAACATCAACATCATTGAAACTGCAGCACAGACAAACTTGTATACAGCAAACCTTCGTGTCTGTTCATATACAGGAAGTCGTCTGCGTAGTTGTACTCGATGTATGGGTCCTGCGATTTCGCTGGCTGGGATGTGTAGCAGGTGAGCTTCATACACGCCACCATGTGGCAGGCTTAATAAGTATCAAAATTGTCATTACCTTTATTACTAATAATATTGCTAACGTCTCATTCAAGCCGATAAAATAGCCAATCGAATTAAACTTAATTCAATAAAAATTGATAGAAACTTTAGTTCTGCTATCACAAAACCTACCCATGACATTCCCTTGGTTACTGGCATAACCACACTGACAATATAACTCTGTCCTGTTGACAAACTTAGCTGCTGGATGGTGGCTGGATGACTTTTTAAGGAATAGGAGTGTGTTAACAGACTTGTACGCATGCATGGCCTTGATGTGTTTTCGGTAGGCTGGCAAACAACACGTTGCATACGAACACACCGAGCAATACTGCTTGCTCCTGATTTCAACAAACAATCAACCAAATAGAGAATGAGTGAAATGAATGAACCAGGAAAACGGATTTTTGAATATGTAGGTCAACAGATGGACGGACAAACGAATGAAATATATATATATATATATTAGGGATATGACAATTTTTAAAGACCCTATCCCCATGTTATTTTTTGTGGAGTTTTAATGCAAAGATCAAGAAAAATCCAATGGCAAGTGTCAACTTTAAAAAAATGTCACCCCCTTAATCAAATTTTTATATATATACAATTATACATTGTACAAAATGGTTTTTTTAATCAAAAATACAAACATACAGGTTTTAGTGTTCGTTTGTCAAAAGAAATTTAATGTTAATTTTTTCAATGCTTTTGCACAATGGAAGTAAATTCTGCAGAACTTTAATTGCACGTTCAGCACAAATGTTTGACCTTTGAGTTGGGATTGGAGTCGGCTCAACCGACCAAAAAGTCCTTAAAGTCTTTATTGCCTTTGAGTGATTTTTGCAAACGGCTGCCAAGTTATCCTCATTATAAACCTGACCAGAAAACCAGATGTCACTCCACGTGCCACTAATAAAGTCACATGATGACTGATCTTCAGCTGACTGTCGAAATTCTGGAAGTAAAATATAAGCTAGCAAAGCATAGATTGCTCAGCTATTCCATCTTGCATTGCTTATATTTGGCAAAGTTCTGAATTTTACTTTAGGGAAGCATCCTGTTTTCTTAAACTGTCTGTAACAAGTGATCAAGTGATGAAGGAAAGCCATATCATCTCTCCAAACAACTTCTTCTTCTTCCTTCAGAGCATCTCCAGAATTGTCAAAAGATGCTTTCAGTTGCTGGTACTCTTCTGTTATTCTGCTAATGAACCAATAATTGAGATTAGGCGAGGTTGTTGCTGCTTCAAAATAATCATTCATCACATGTTTTAGTAATGTATCAAGAACATGATGCTGGCATCCAATATAAAGAGGTTTGTCTAATCCAAGCATAACAAAATGCTTTTGTAGTCGTGTGACTGCCCCAACAGATTTTCCTGTATTTGCAGAGGTTGTATCAGAAATTATTAACTTAATTGCAGGCCATAGCTTATATTCATCAAGCACAGTTTTTATTCCTTTAAATATTGTTTCACCTTTTCCATTTATCAGTGCAAGAACTGCTAGTTTAACTTCTCTATTTTCATTTTTTAGAACTACAACCTGGTACTCTGTATTCTTTATGTGCTTCCCATCAAAGTGCAAGCTCCACTTTTCGTTTCTTAGAGTTTCAATAAAATGTTCTTTTAATTTTTCTCCTGCTTTCATTGTAGCTTTGTAAACACCACTTTGACTTAGAGTTGGAATAGAAATTCCATCTTTTGCAGTTTTGCTGTTGTCACCAAATTTATTGCATAATCAGTTTTTTGTCTTTTACATGTTGTCGAAGTCTCTGAATCTTGAGAACCACTGTCAGAATCTTGTTTTTCTTCTTCAGTGTTAAAATGTTCTTCATCTTTACTGCTTAAATCATCCTTAGTATCTTGACTGACTCTTTGCTGTTCTTCATTTTCACTGCTTAAATCATCCTTAGTATCTTGACTGGCTTTTTGCTTAATCAACTTTAGTTTTCTAGGATGAACTCCTTGTGTATCTTCAATTGTGGTGCAGTAGCCAGCTCTACCATTTGTAGACATCTGAAGATTATAGAGGGCTTTATCTTCCTACACAACTATTCTCCATTTTCATCAGTTAAGTTGAACAAGTTGGTGAAGTCTTGCGTTCCTGGTTTTCTGCTGTTTTTTTCATACTTGTTTAGTACATGCTGAATTTTTCTTTCCACTGTAGATTTGCCTTTTTGAATTGGAAGATTCAGTTTTTTCCATAAGATTTTTACTTCTTTGACCACTATCACAACTCTCTTTTGTCTACTTAAGTTTTCAGCTTAGGGGGGTGAACTTTTTTAAGATTCAACACTTTCAAATGGTATTTTCAGTTTTAAAATGTAATTTCTCCACTCATAGTGGCATGGGAAACCAAAAATTGCCAAAAAAAATTTTTAGTCATATCTCTAATATATATATATAAAATAAATGACAGTGGTATTGTGAGAGTGATTTAACGATTTAAAAATTATATCAAAGAATATTTGAGCAAATGAATGAATTAATTAATAAAACAATGAGATATTAGATATATTAGATACATGGATGACTGATGATTATACAAATAAATAAACGAATGAATGAATGATTAGATAAACAGATAATAAAAATTAATAGGTGAGCAAAGAATTGGATGAATGAAGAATCAAATAAATAAATAGATAAATAGATAGATAAATAGATAGACAGACAGATAGATAGATAGATAGATAGATAGAGGGAAAAAACAAAAAGATACCCACCGATAATGTCCTGCATCGCTATTTATATCCGTCCCACATTCCACACATGTGCATTTTTTAGATCTAATCAGTCAAATAAAACAGCTTGTTATTAGAACAAACATTACAAAATAAAAAATCCATTAATTAATTCATATCCATAATTAATGTTTGTGGATCTCTCTCTGGGCGGTGCGATGGCATAACGGTAAAGTGCCTGGAACTGTAGTTGCAGGGACTGGATTCAATTGCAAATAGAACCATACCCATCACATGCAATGTGTGTGATGCACTTTTTCACGTGTATTTACATGCACTGCGTGTTTGTTTTTAATGCTTCTGAAATATACTGAAGAGAGAATTGTAATGACAATAAAAAAATCTAAGTAACCTTAACTCCTTATGCAACACGTGATAAAGCTTTTGTTGTCTGCCTGGCCTAACATACAATCTTAGTGAGCTGGACGTCTGTTTGTTCAAAAAATCGTTTTTCTGCATTTGACTCCATAGGAGGCCAGCTTGAATTGATGGTAGTTTGCAGTAATTATCCTTCAAAAACCATTCCCATACCACCATTATGCATATTCATCTAACTAGTCAAATGACAGCTCGTCAATCAACCAGTCTATCAATCTCAATCAATCAATCAATCAGTTAATCAACCAACCGTGAATAAGTTGAGTAGTAAAAACATGATCTCTTGATACATGCTCATCAAGCTCTTCATTGGTTATGAACGACAGTGAACATGAAAAACATTTTTTGGACATCTGCGAACTCATATGCAACTGCAGGGTAGTCATCGTCATTCAGTTTATCATCAGTGCTATCATTGGTATCAGCAGGACTAACCAACAAATGATTATAATAATCCAGCATTCTCACAATCCTCTTCCTATCATTGACCTTGACATTTGTTCTGACCCCTCCCACAATGACCTTCAGACAGACAAAACACATCATGTCAGGAGAACCTCGATGATGCTGTGGGATTACAAGGTGAATACCAGTTTTTAAAATTAAATCAAGAAAAACTTGAAAAGGACTGAATAATTAAAAAGTGAATGAAAAAGATAACAATAAAAAATAATAATTATATTTATTACAGCATAATAAAGGAAACAGACTTCTTTGAAATGGTCAATAACGTCAACCCGACAGCTGGAAGCAAATAAGCAAAGTGAGCATTTGTAGGGCATTCCATATTTCTGATGTATTGAAACCATGTGATTCTTCAACGCTGCCCGATTTTTCACGTCTAACTCGCAGATGCTGCAATACGTTTCATTTATGTTCTTACCTTTATTGCTGACACTGGTAGTGGTCATAGAGAGGCCATCAACTCTATTGTTCCTAACAATGTAGTTGTTGTGCACCTGAAAATCACAACAAAAATTAACCTGAGTTACACAGGAGGGTCAAAATAAAAGAGCGAGTAGACCACCCTATTAAAATTACCCATCACTGAAATGACAATTCACTAACATTTTCAACATGTTCTGAGAGCTGTGAGAGAGAGCTGAAGAATCTATAGCAGAGGGTGCATACCTTGTTGCATTTCTTCGACTTGCTCTTCATCTCAGCATGCTCCAACAAGTGTAACATAGCTGCGAAGTTGCTTGGCAGGTTGGCATTGCAGATGTGGCACTGGCAGTGTAGATGTTCATGTTATGAGTGCAGATGATGATGATGAGGGCAAAGGTGAGGAAAAAATGTCAATAATAATGTTGCTAAATGTGACAAACTGAAAAAAAATTCATTGACTGAGATTGATTGAAAAAATATTTTTTATGTGAACTCTAACATTTATATCCCTCATCAATTTGATGGAGGATATAAATGTTGGAGTTATGAAAAAATTATAACAAAATAACAAAAATGTTAAAATTTTTGATTTTAACATTCTGATTGTCAAAAAAACTGTTATTTAAAATATAATCAATCAGTTAACCGATCAACCAGCCAGCCAGCCAACCAACCAACCAATCAACAAAGTGACTAACATTAAAAAAGTAATGATACTTGACATCACCAGCACCATCATTAATCCAAGAAGGACCTTTGCATGAGTAGAAGTAGGAGAACAAGGGCATCTCAAACCCATCTGACAATAAAAATTCATTAAAGAATTAAAAATATATCAATGATTGCAACCTAATAAATAAACAAATATATGTTAATAAATGAGAATAATTATTATGAAAAATAAACTGACTAATTTTCTCGACAGCATAATCGTCATGGTTTTTGTCATTATAAATTATAGCATCCTTTGGCGTTGGTGGTTTTTTATTTATCGACATCGAGTTGGAAGTTTTTGAGTCGAATGGTATGATTTTCGAGGGCTGTGTCATCTTTAATGATGTCAACGTTATTGTTGGTGTTGCCGGTTTACATTTATCACTGGTAACATTTTGAAAAACGTTTCTAGAAACTTTTGCCATGGAATGACATTTCATTGCAGATGATTTTTTAAAAGGGGAACGATTAACATCTAAGAGTTCAAGCTCTACCATAGGCATAGTTGGGGTTAACCTCATACTCCTGACGTTACTACTAAAGTTATTAACAGTTGCCTTGGATGACGATGATCTTACAAATGATACATTCGAATCTTGTGAAGATGTCAACGTGCCAGGTAGTGAGGTTGGTAAGTTATCAGTGAAGGAATTGGTTGCTTGCTGTCTGCTGCTGCTCAGTCGTTTTGGAAGTTTTTTCAATTTAAATTGTTTCACCGTGGAGATGTTTGGCGTGTAGTCGATGTCATTGACGTCGTCTTCTGTGCCCTTCTCGTCTGTTAAATCCTTCATAAACATGCAATGATATAATAATTATGGTTGCAGCTGATCATATAAATTATTAATATTTGCAATTACTATTAATTGACTATATTAAAATAAAGGATTTGATGAAAATTGTAAATCATAAAATAATGTCAACCGACCCAAAACAGCAGATCATCATTCTTCCTTTTCAGGGATGGGACCTCATGTGTAACCTTACCCCGATCTGTTTCAATAATATGATATTACAATATTTATTATTATCATTAATACGATTAAGTAACATTATAAAATATTAATAATTATAACCATAATTATAATCATTATAATTAATAAAAAAATATATCTTAGCTTGTTACAACAATTACAAAATGTACAGTGGAACAACAAATTAACGAAACTTTTCACTACAACCTTGACCTTCATTCAATTTATTTTTCGGTTTTCTACCCCTCTTCTTGCCCTTGAATGTCGGGGGATTCTTCAAACAACTTTCTCCCACAAAACTTTGAACACTACTATCATCACCTCCACAAAGACTGCTACTATTACCATCACCGCCTGCGCTTATTATTTCAACATCGTCGTCGTCATCATCATTATTTTTACGAATTTTGCTGTTGTTATTGTTGTTAGTCCTCTTCATGCTTGGAACATTTTGGAACATCAATTGACCGACACTATTTTCACTGTTGCTATTATTGATCTTATCAATGTTATTATTACAGTTATTATTGTTATTGTTGTTGCCATTGTTATTAATGTTATTATTATCTCCAACTTTGTTGCTGATGTTATTTGCCATTTTTTTCAAGAGTTCTGAAATTAGAAACAAATTTTGTATTGATAAAAAATTTGTAATGTCAACGGTGCATTAAAAAAGAATTGTAGCCGAAAAATTTAAATGAAACTAACGATTTTGACTGTACTGTTTAGCCTTCTGGTTAGCCAGTCTTATTTTTTCAAGTGCTTCAGCATATTTAAAGAAGGAATCCTTCGAAACTTGGATCTGCACGTCGGTTAAGTCATCCTCGACACATTCCATCATGAGCAAAGGTTGTCTGATGAATGGTTTTGGCTTAGGCACTGCTGAAGAGAATGCCATGTTTGATCTAGTAGACTGCTGCAGAGGAATGGAGGACATTGAATGTGAAATTTTTCCATCTGATGACAACTGTTGTGATTTTTTTACAGTGATAGTGACGGTTGGACTTGGGGTCAAGTTTGAAGAGGTCGGAATGAAGTTTTGCGGTGACATAGATGTCATCTTCGTGCGAGCTGTCGGTCCTGACATAATTGATTTCAATGCTTCATTGGTTGATAAGGAATTTAATTTGATTAACTCCTTTATGGGGTTGTTTCTTTCAATTTTTCTTTGGGCATCAACCTTCCTCAATTGTCCAGGTGCCTGTGAGATATATAATTATAGTATTATATATAATATTACAGTATTGCACACTAATTTAGATATATATCACACACTAATTAAATATGGAACTGTATTACTTGAATGAATAACCTTTTGACTATCAAAAGATGTTCCTAGTAAGACCACATCATCGTCATCGTCATCATTGTTGCCTTTATTAAATTTTCTGCGCTTTTTAGCAGAACACTCATCATCAGAAAGTTCAATTTCATCAGCCATTTTTTAAACATGGGAGTTGAATTGCCCTCTAATAAAAAAAAGAAACAGAAAAGGAAGAATCTGTAGAAGTCAACGATTTAAGACTTTAAGCTAATGTTTATTATTTATCGACATTTAAATTGTCTAACTTAAAAAACATGCATATTGCTTGTTTGTTTAGATAGTATTTCTTTATTATTAGATTAGTTCATTATAAAATAAATCAAATGACATGTAAACTTCAATGAAATTATTTTGCAAGTCTTTTTAGCTTTTTACATATAATATTTTATATCATTTAAAAATCAACTTTTAAATTCAAAGTTTAAGATTAGAGAATGATTAAAAATAACAAAGCAAATAGAGTTAGTCAGTGTTGTTAGTTTAGTTTAGCTTGTTAGCTAGTTTTTATCTCTAAGGGTAAAATCTGTTATGGTCACGCATGGCCAATGGAGGATGATGTGTGTAACAAACTCAACCGAAACTAGTGCATAAGAATAGCATAGCATAGCCTCAACTCAATCAATAAAATTAGCCAGATTATCAGAAAATTAGTCCAACACACATAATGTCAACCAGGTTTTTTTTACCATGATCATCATGGCATGATGGGACCCTAGGTATTTAATTTATTTTATATTTAATAATTTTTAATTAATTATTTCTCTGCCTGAGAGACACGCATGATGATGATGACACTGACTGACACAGGTCAAATAACGTAACATAACACTGTATTTATTATTAATTTATTTTATAATTTATATAAACGTAATTAAATAAGTAACAGGTAACTGTGTAAACTGTAAAGTAACAGAAAAAACACTAATAACTCACAAGATCGACGAATCGCGTAACGAAAGATCAAACATTCGATGACATTTAAAAAATACAAAACAAATCAAAATGCAATTTATTACAAAAATGAAAAGTACAATACCCGATATAGCGATAATTGCTACCAATACCGAAGATCGAAGCCAATTCTCGTGGAGCTATAAGACACAACTTGGTGGATATGGCCAGGGTAGGACTAAACAACAAGTTTGTGTTGTAAACAAAATCAATTATAGTGCTTCATCTTATATGCGCATAATTTTTTGAGAAACATCTTTTAAAGAAACATTTCGTAAAACATTGTTATGACTACATCATCGTTTTTAAATCATGTTGATTGTCATCCTTTTATTTTCTTCTTCTTACTTCCTTAGTTTTATCTAGGATTGATTAATGTAATTCACTCTACTATGGTCTTCCTGATTCTACACTCTATCCTTTAACTTTAAAGCTTTTAACTCTGCTGCTCGCCTGGTTGCTCGTGCACCTTTCTCTTTTCTTATATCTCCATATCTTGTTCTCTTGCACTGGCTATCTATAAAATATAGAATAATTTTTAAAATTTGCACATTTATGTATAAGTCTCGTAATCTAAATTATTTCCTAAGTATTTATCGGATATATTAATTGAACATAAACGCGCCGGTTTACGATCGTCTTCTTGTTCTCACTTCTAACTTGTGTTCAATACTCTTTTGCTAAATCTGCATTTGCTTTTACTGACCCTTTTCTCTGGAACTCGACGATGAACATTTTTAAGTTGAAAAAGTGTAGATTTTGGAACCATATAGTTTATTAAAATTAGGTTAACCTCAAATTACAACCACCTGTCAATAACAAATTTCTGATTTTTTAAATGATCTAGCGGAGTTCTAGCTCACACTTATAATCAAGCTCAAAATTATTTCAACAACTATTGATAATTTTTAACAAATTATGTCACCAATCAATTAATTAATCATTTTTATATAATTTATCTGCCTAGGACCACAAAGTTTTGTAAGATTTTTATTGAAAACGCAACAAAAGAAAAAATAATTAATTTAAATATTTTGACAAATTATTTCTGGCGGCAACTAATTTTTTAAAAGCTTCTTCGCCTTTATACGCGGAACATTTGTCCGGATGGATCAACATTGACAACTTTCGAAAATTTCGATTTATATCTTTTCTGTATTTTATAATAGGATTGTAACTGATAAATTAATTAATTAATTGATTAATTAGTATTTAAAATGGCAAAAAACATTAAGTAATGACTTGAAATTGGCAATGTAATTTCAAGATGTCGCAAGACTTACAATGTATAATTAGCTTTTAGTAGTAACATCTCTTCATCGCTTTTGGACAGTAGAATTTTGTTGATGGTATCCATTTGGTCCTTTGAGTAAAAATTTAAGTGTCTGTTTTTGGAGCCGAGCTTATGGTACTGCAGAATTGACGATATAATCTTCTAAAATAAAATGTAGTAATCTTGTAAGTGCTAAATCTACGTTAGTGCAAATGTAACGCAATTTCAATATATCCCGATGAGTTAGAATTATTGTTTAGCTTTGTGGATGTAATTTCTAGATGTTTTTTAATATCATCGTCGTCGTCATCGTCCATCAATGCCTTAGCTTATTGCAGCTTACCAAGTTAATGCAAGTCTTTTTCTCACCAACTCAATACGTGGTATTAATCTTCATCACTATTTATCATTTATCACTTTACCATAAACTGCCAAGTTTCTCCACATCGGTAAAAAAATAACACTTTAAACATTTCTGGTGGTAATATTGCCATGGACTTAATCATGTATTATATTAATACTATCCTATCAATAACTATCAGAGTCTGTATCTTTGTCTTTCCCATTTATTCCCCAGTTTGTGTCCAGTCCACATCTCAAAACAAAAAATTTCCATCTCATCTCACTTCCGTAACAAAAAGAGTTCCACGCATGGCTATCATACAAAAAACAACTTACATACAACAAATGGTTCCTAATGCAAGCCAACAAGCTAAACAGAGTATTTAGTGGTAAAAGAGGCAGTGTTATTGTTATTTTACGAATTACTCCCAAACTACAGTGCTCACAACAGCAGTGAAATTTAAAATAAATGATGAATATATTAATGTAAAGTGTAAATATTTTAAAAAATGTAAACAAATTATTTATTTTCTACCTCGAACAGTTCTTTTGTTTTCCTTCCATCAGTCAGCGAATTCTCCAGCAAATCAACGCCTCTTTCTTCAGCCCATCTCAAGCATTCTTCGAAATTTATATCTCGTGATTTATCGATCTATATTAATTAATTAATTAACTAGTAATTAAATTTGTTTAAGCGTGTTTGAATTAAATTTAAATTTGCCGACCTTGTTTCCAATTATTGTAATGTGGAGGTTCTTGAACTGATTGATATCATCATACGTCATTAACATTTCGTTTAACCAGTCGTCCAGATTAACAAAACTTGCTTTGTTTGATACATCATAAAATAACAAAACTCCATGGCATTCCTTATAAAATTCGTTTCTCACCTTTGAATTGAATTTATATACAAAACATAAAAATAAAGAAATGTTTTAAAGTAATTTTGGACCTCGTGAAATAATGGACCTCCTGATAAATCGAAGACATCAACTTCTATCTTCTCTTCGCCTTTCAAATAACTAGGAAATAATTATTCGCCCAAATATAAAAATTGACGCTTGCATTGCAGCTAAATATTAAAATCGAAAGTTGCTAACTACTTTATAACGCCGTAGTCGACTCCCACGGTTGGTGTGTACGTTTTTATAAATCGTTTCTCGCTGCACATCCTAATGAAACACGTCTGCAATTAGTTTTTATATTCATAATTTAATGAAAATTACATCATTAGTTACATTAAATTAACAATTAATTTTCAACAGTTTTAACTATTTCTAACTTTTCCACAGTTGCAGTCTCCGATTACAACAAGCTTCAATCTTTCCAACATGTCGAACAGTTTCGATTTTTGATAATTTTGCAAACTAATGATATCAATATTTAATGATTATTTATGTATAAAAAAACTAATCCCAACCAAAACACTCTTCTATGAAGTTTGTGCCGTGGTAATCTTAAATCATCCCTTACAGCCGTTTTTGCTTGTTCGTGGAAAATCGTATAAAAATGATTAATCGAGTTGGTGAGTTAACTCAGACGGTAGCAGAGCTAGGTTCCATGTTTTATGTTGTTTTTGTTATATCGCGATGGCACGGTTGGCTGCAACAATCTGTTTGATTCTTGTAGACATCTTACGCCATGCATTCTCTTACGGTGCGTGCATACAAAATGTGTATATGGTGTGGCGTGGCGTGGTGTGGATGTTACAGCATTTTATTAACAATTGAGGAATGAACGATTAATTGTCATAAAAATGTGGCAGGTCGTCAAGTATTTCATTGATTAGTAACTTCATCGTGAATAATTAATGCCACAACATTTTGACTTGCTTGTGAGTTGTTAGTCAGTTGCTGCTACTCCATCCAATTAATTGATTAAGACTAGTAACAAAATAACTTCAGTAAGTTGTTTTTATAGAAAAATTAGCTTTTAAACTTTAATTCACAAATTTACAAAACAGCGAAACCAAATAAATACTTTCATGATCAATCTTTGATAATGTTTACGGCGTCGCCAATTTTGATGTTTACTTATTTGCTTATTTATTTATTAATTAACTAATTAATATATATTTTGCATTTTATGAACTAACTATTGTTTATAACTACTAGTCCTGAAATATTTGAAATATTTTAATGCATTTCCAAACATTCCAACCAATTGTGATAAAAATCTTTTGAACAAATACAAACGAATCACTCAAATAAATATTTAGTGTATATTTGACAAATTATGAAACTATTCGCGAGCAAAGTAAATATTTTAACGACACAGAACATTTTACGTCTGTGTTTTGTAATTGCTACTCTGAATAAAATTCTAGTCCAAGCCAATAGTACGAACGCCAGTGTTCTTTGGAAACCAAATCAAAATGGCTACAGTATATTCCAGAAACTGCTTAAAGCACTCAGTATTGCTGATAAAAATTTGATGGAGATAACAACAAAAAACTGCCACGTAAACATTTTAGTACTGTTCATCTGGGTATTATTCTTCATGCTGGCAGTTTGGGCCAGGTTGAAAGATGAAGACTTGAGAATTCGAGTAAAATTTTGCAAATATTTGAAAATACTAATTACAAAATTACTAATTTTTTAAGTTAATGCACGTAAAATTATGTAATTTAATTACATTCGCCAGAAAATGCCGATAGATCTTGCTGACAACGCTTTTGAGAACCACTACATATACCTTCTCATCATTAAAACTGGTAGCAGGTACCTGGATTAGAACTAGCGCATGTTTTTTATTAAATAATGTTAACATGAACCGTCATTGCGTGGACGATACAAGTTTTATGACCTTCAAACCTTGACCTTTGACCATGTTTTTGTTGAATCAGATTGGGGGCAGGAACAACATCTCGCATTTTCTTCAACTTGACCGGCACAAAAGGAATCAGTGCTTCTCATCGACTGACGTGCCACAAATACGAGGCTAATATATTTAAGTATCATCTTGTTATAATGTATACCATCATCATCATCATTTTATCACCATCAACATTATGTATATAATTAAAGTTGTTATTATATAATATGATTGTCATATAAGTTATCATCGCATAAGAATGCAACAATTTTTATTATCAACAGCACTTCGTTCACTTATTACTTTTTTCTAATCAAGTAAACATTGTAAGATATGCTGATGGTACAGCTCTTATAACAGATTCAATAGAAAAACTGCAAACAATTGTTTCCAAAGTGATTTGTGAAAGTGAAACGAAAGGCTTACAAATTAACATCAACAAAACAGAGTGCATGGTTATCTGTAAAAGCAACACCGCCCCGATCTGCCCCATAATCATTAATGGTAAACAGGTGAAACAAGTCAACATCTTCAATTATCTCGGAAGTCTGATTACCTCAGGTTGTAAATGTGATATAGATATCAAAAGAAGGATAGCTATGGCAAAAAATGCATATTTTAAAATGAAAAACATCTTCACCAACAGTAAAATCAGGATATCAACAAAATTAAAACTGTTAAGTTGTTACATTTTTCCTGTGCTAACTCATGGCTCTGAGTCCTGGACAATTTAAAAAAAATGGAAAAAAAGATTAATGTTGAGATGTGGTTTTTGAGAAGAATTGTGAAAATTAGTTGAACTTCTTATACTTCGAATGAGGATGTATTAAAACAGTCCGGTTACGAAAAGAGGAAATTACTACAGATAATCCGACGGGGGCAGTTAAAGTTTTTTGGTCACATCATGCGGAAGGAAGGAATGGAAAATCTAACAACTACTGGAAAGATTGCAGGGAAAAGAAATCGCGGTCAACAACGAATAACATTCGTGAAGTCCTTGTATCACTTGTTGAATATCACCACATTTCAACTACTACAAAGTGTTAAAGATCGGGTTTTGTGGAGGTCGATGGTCGCCAGTGTTTTGAAAGGATAAGGCACGAGAACGAAGAAGAACATCTTCATCGTCGTCATCATCTTCATCGTCGTCGTCATCATCCTCATCGTCGTCGTCATCTTCATCGTGGTCATTATTTTCATTGTCGTCATCATCGTCATCACCATCATCGTGTTCAGGTGCTGCAGAGGTTGCAAACGAACATATTTCTAATGAGGACACAGAAGACCTTAGGTAACTTGGTGGCACTCAGGTTCTGGCATTACAACTCTGGCAGCAGTCCTGCATGGCTAGTATATAAATAACTCAAAATACGTTTACAACAATGACAAAACGACACGTGCCAAAAATTAATTTTTGAATTTTGTTTAATGCAAACGCACTGAAACATAGGTTCGTGACCAAAGTGTCAGTGGCAGATCTTCAGTCGAAAAAAATTTATTACTTCCTGTGCAACTCGTGGGTCGGTCATAAAGGCTTCAAAGGGGAGACCATCTTGAAAACTTTCCACGTAGCATCCAAGATCACAACACTTAACATCAAATATCTTTTCACGTACAACGCGTCAAGGCCAGTTTTGTCAAAGATGTTTTGCTGAAATTGTTTTTGTTTCGTAGATTTTTTTTTGTAAAAATGATAGCTTTTTTAAACTGTTTTATTTTAACGGTTGTATTCATTTGTGTGTATGCAATGCTGTAAATGCACACGCCAACAATTTGAAAAACGCCAAGTAACTCGTTCACAGGTCATTCATAGACAACCACACCATCTTCTCGATGTTCTGCAGTCCTGCCACTTCCCGTTTCACGAGATTTGAAAGGGTCGGTGTCTGCATGAACCTCCTCCTCGGCTACCTCATGTGCAACCTTCTCTTCCTGAAATCCATCTCTGACGGCGAGGATGGCGACGACGATGACGACGGTCCCAAGTCCATCGGACGTCTCATGTTCAGCATGGAAAGAATCAAGAGTGGTCAGTTCTCACTGGCCTCAGCTCTTTCTTCTCGTTCACGAGTGCTTCTTATTTGTTTCGTGAATATCTATTTGCATGTGACACTCACACTCACAAAAATCCACACTAAATAAATGATAACAAACATTACCAGCCTTTTACTGCACTCTGGTGATGTTTCCTGTGACGACAGGGATCGAGAGCATGTTCCAATTTGTCATTCGTCCAAAGATGAAGATTGGGATCATTTTGGATTGGATGAAAAGAAGAGAAATTCTTCAAAAAGATCTCTTGGGAATTGTGTGCAATTATTTCATTTTTTTCGAAATCTTCTCTGCGCACTTTGTTATTTTAACAGCAATAACAATTTAATTCAAAATGATTAACGAATATAAAAATTTTAATATCCATGCAATCATTTACGATTTTTTTCATTCAAACTACAGACGGTCGTGGAGAACATTAAAAAGTTCATGCGATCGAAAGTGTTCAAGGCCATGCGGAAGAAGAAAAAACAATCAGCGCAGAATTTGCTGAACATGCAGGCAGTGACTACAGGGGGCGGTCGAGGAACCAGGAAGGTGTTGGAGCACTACGACAGCGACTATTTTATAAAAGAGTACGAATTCGAAGATGGTATCATCAGGGATACCAGAGAACTTATCAATCTTAAAAGAATTTCAGATTTGTCGCGACGAATGAATCTATCCAAGAATGCAGTGAATGCCGTGAAATATATGGACGCTGCTAACCATAAGTCTTCCAGTGAGATATATTGATAGTCAGTTAGATGTGCACCGTGTTTCATGTAAGTGTTGTTTCGTTTAAATATATTCTCCCTTAGATGTCATTAAGAGCAGCCTAGCGTCAATATTCAAGAACAAAGCTCCAACAATTAGGTTCCAGCCTATACACATGCTATCTGGCAAGATGGACGTCTACAACGACGGCATGAACTGGAGAACTTTCTTCAGTGAAAATACAGGTTTGCATGTGCGGGACAGTTAACTTTTATCTATATGATGATAGCGTCGGTAATAAAATGACGGCATTTTAAAATTAATGGAGAACTGGGAAAAAGAAAATTAAGATAAAAAACATTCTGATTTTATGTTATTAGCAATCGGTCGCAACGAGTACTCGTTGAGCGAGTATCGATCGGAAAAATTCGACAATGGCTTCCTGCCAAGGTACTTCATCGTGGTGGCTTGGGGAATCACCATCAGCTGCATGATTGCGTTTTCCATCACTGTACTCGAAAAGACGAATGGAGTTCGTCATTTCAAATTTTTTATGAAGTTTTTTTTCCACAGCGTATATTTATTTTTATTTAATATTTGTTTCAAAAATCTGATTTTTCGTAAATTTTCTCCCCCAAAACAAACAAAGATAGAAAAATATGTTATGATTCACTGGTTCGCTGGCTGCTTCATGTCTTTCTTCATAGGAATGGTCATTGACGACCCGTTGAAAATAATTATAGCCTCCTTCATCTTTTCAATTGTCATCAGAAAAGTCAGGGAGCATGGGTTCAGAAACGCAAATTTAACAAAATACATGTGTTTAAGAGGTTAATTAATCAAATATAAATTTTATTTTTGAAAAATGTCCGTTTTAAAATAATGCTAACAACGACAACAATGAACGTTAACAATGTGATTGCATTAGTTTGATCATCAACAGGTTTAGAGAAGACAAACGCCGAGCAAGACCGTGTGACATTAAACGAGATGCAGAACGCCCCGGAGTACAAGGTACCAAACAGATCCCTCAACATGCTCCTTATAGAAGCTGAGAACATTAGATCGGAGTCCGTCATCATCATGTTAAACTTCATCATCTTCATGATAATCGTTTCGGTGAACGTCTGCATAACGGCGATACTACACAAATATGAATATTTTCTTCAAGATGAAACGTACTACAAAAAATTATTTTACCAGCCAGCTTTCAGAAAAGTTTGCTCATTTTCATTATCCACCACAACAATAACGATGGCTTAAATAACGATTAGGTACTAATGATGTTAATGCTTTAAAACAGATTCAAAGGAAGGAAGATCTGAAAGAGTGGATGAAAACATACGTGATGAAAGAATTTTATTCGGGATCAAACGAATCGTTGCTGGAAGAAGATGAGTTGTTTCGCTACACATCAACCCCTGGCCTCTTTTTGGCTTGCTCACCGAGGTTCAGGAGAACTACCACTGAAGGAAGTAAACTAGGAGTTGCTCTTTTTTGTTATTTTTTTAAATAAGTTATTTTTTGTTAATTATTTAAAATAAAATTATAATTTAAATTGCTCATTTTAAAATTTCAATGTCGTTATTACAATTATTATTCATTTATGATTATTTGTCTGTTTTGTAGACATGATTAATTAATCATTTCCCAAGTTTTTGTTGTTATTATCATTTAAGTGGATTGGATCGTGTTATTTTCTTTTGCGTCCTCTCAACTTTTCATCATAATATTCACAACTCGGCGATTGCATTTGATGTTACGTGTTAAAAAAAAGTTATCATCCAACTACGCAGATGCCTGGGCTTACTTCTTAGCCGGAGTCCTGGCAACTAGAAACGATGGAATCGATCTAGGAATCTACGAAGAATACGCTTTAGAGAAAATAGACGAAGTTTTCGACGGAGATTACTTCAACACAACTTTCTACTTCAACGAGCTTGAGATCATTTTGTACTCCATGTACAGTGACCTGACTGTCCTCGTTGACATCAGATCCTTCCTTATGCCCGGAGGTGGAATCCTGGTTGACGGGGAGGTCAGACCTCTTGCTGATAGATTGGAAAAAATGATAAATCCAATTGGTCATCATGAAAACATAGTTGATAAAGTTATATGAAGATTAGATGATGCACATGACATTTTCTTCTCATTATAAAATTTCCTGTTACAGTTTTTTAATGTTTTCACTTAATACATTTTAACAGCTTCAAACTGATGCCCGAATAATAATAATAATAATAATAATCACTGTTAACTAAACGGCCAGGTGAGCTCAGTCTACTTGAATTCCAGTGGTAGAGAATGGACAAACCTCTTCCTTATAATCTACATGCTCTTCATTGTTGTACTCTGCGGGGTAACTGTTCACAACATTGTTTATCTTGGGGTGGCTGAGTTTTTCTCTTCGTTCTGGCACTTCCTCGATCTCATTGGAACGGTCTTTGGTCTTTTCGTCATACCATCCGCCGTGTTCATCATGATCGACACGTCCAGTAACACGGAGGATTTCATGGAAAATGGTTACGTTGATGTGGTTGAGATCGCCTTTTCTAGATTGGTTAGTAATTAAAATAGTTTAACAACGTCTTCATTTGTTCGCTTTCTTTGAAATGAAATGTCTGAAATTTTCAGATATTACACAACCTGATGAATACTTCGGTGGTATTATACTTGATCAAAGGTTTCTCTTTCTTACGCTTCAACGATCAGATTTATTTGTATTTCCAGTTCATCGATGAGAGCGTTTCCGTCATATTCGTCATCCTCCTCATGTTCTTTCCCATCTTTCTAGGCGCCGTCATTTTCCTCTATATGTTTTACGGGAAGTAGGTACTCGATATTGTCCTATATATAAACGTATGGTTGAAAGAATAAACGCGTGTATCTTTTACGCAGTACAATCGCAATCATGACTTTAGACATTTGGCTGTATTAAAATCGTTCAGGTATATGGTATTCCTGTACACGATAGAATACACCATGGTGTCTGCTGTGGTTGGATTCACACGAGGCTACAGGTATAACAACATGAACAGCTTGTTTGGACTCTGCGGCCACATACCACACGCAGCCGTTATTGTGGCCTACACATTAATCGTTCAGTATATGTGCGCCGCGGTCGTCTATTATAAAGTTAAAGTAAGAACCATGATGATTTTTGTCAGCAAGAATGATTTTGTAGTTGAAAGACTTTCTAATGTTAGCTTAAAGATTAAAAATAATTACGTAAACGACTGCACATCCCTAGAAACTAACCCCCAAGTCCGGACTGCCCGACAGGCTTTACTTTTCGGCATTGCTTCGTGGGTTCAGAAGATATTTGAAAAATCAGAAAAAAAATGTCATTGTTCGCAGGCAGAAATTAATAAAGAGGTTTAATAAGTCACAAAGCACAGTGAAACCATCAACATATAGGAATACTTTTAAGAAAAAATTCAGCAATTATGAATATTAAATAATTACCTGAAATGTCACAAACTCTTACTAAGTAGGGTAATGCATGAAATCATCCAATCTCAAATTTGAAGTTAACTTTTCAAATCGCTCAACATGAACTAATGAAATATAGGTTGGTATGAAATTTCAGTTTTTATAGGAAATCACTAATGTATTATATTTATTTATTTATGTTATTATGTATAAATTATTATGTAACTACCTTTATTCAATTTTAGTTAATTATTAATTAATTAATTAACTAATTGCGTAATTAATAAAAACGTTTAATAAAGTATGTTGGGAAGCTCTTTTCATATACAAATCAGTTTAATTTGAGTTAGTTAATTTAAAGAAAGTTGCCGATTGTCAACATTTTTACATTATTTATAACGCCTATAAGAACCGTAATAATCATCATCGTCGTCATCATCTGCGTACTGCTTATAATTATTTGTTCTGTTATTAGATTTCACGGACTTTTTCTTCATACTTTCCTCCGAGGCAACAACCACCACTCCGTCATTCTCATTGATCCATCGATTAATTTTAAACGTGAATTCCTCCTCAACATTTTGGCCATTATTTTTATTTCCATTCCTTTTCTTTCCTTTCTGCCGCTGGTAATCATCATCATCATCGCTATCATCATCGTCGTCGTCATCATCATCGTGGTTGTCCAGCAGCATGAAAACCTTGATATAATCAACTGACCAATCACTTCCGAAGCCCTTACCATCCTGCCATATTTTGAGTTTCTCAATCTGATGATGAAAATTAAATTGTTATTTTTGTTTATCGTTGCCTTCTTAATCATATTTTTCATTATTTTTGTCATCACATTTAAGAACGAGATGTTAAAACATTAAACTGAACTCACAGGTCCTACGTATTCAGCTTCTAATTTAAACTCATCCACATTTCCTCTTTCGAATTTATTCACATTCTTCGTTGACTTATTCAATTCTAAACTGTCGGTTTGTTTCTGAGGTCCGCAGAGTTGTACGAATACGTTTGCGTCCGTGCCCGCATTCGACACATCACTTGTCTTCACTTGAATTCTATATTTGGCTGCTAAATAAAAAAGTTTTAGGTCAATTTTTTTGCTTGAAAAATGATAATAATATAATAAATTTTAAAGCATTAATAAACTTTAAAAATACTTTGTATTTTTTTTTTCTTGCTATTCTTTGCGTTATTTTTACTGTTGTTATCAGTTTGCGAAGTGCCCTCACTGACTTCAACAACTCCATCTGATTTCTTGATCCATCTGTCCAGCAGAAATTTGTAAAGTTTCTTCTTCGGGTTGTTCAAATGGTTTCTTACTCTTCTGTCGTAATAGTCATCGTCGTCTTCATCTTGTTCTTCCTCATCCTCACCAGCCAATATCTGAACATCTTGTACGTGCCAGTCACTGCCAACACCAGATCCATCGTGCCAAATTTTTAGTCTTTTTATCTAAGCAACATAATTTTTACATACGATATAAAATTTGTAGAAACAAAACTGAGATAGGTAAGCTGTAATTGAAAATTTGTAACATAAACAGTTCCATTTAAAAACTTATTTTCATATATTAAAGTCACAATTATTACTAACAGGTCCAACAGGATCAGCCTGCAGTTCAAACTCATCCACACTTCCTCTTTCAAATTTGTTGATGTTTTTTGCTGATTTTTTCAATTCCAAACTTTCCGACATTTTCTGAGGTCCGCAGAGTTGTATGAAAACATTGGCATCCGTGCCTGCGTTAGAAACGTCACTCGTTCTCACTTGCACTCTGTATCTCGCCTCTTGACAAGAAAATATTTGAATTAATTAATATTTTTATCGCCGATTAACAACAGAATGGCAAAATTAATTTTAAATGCTGGAAATTGTTCTTATTACTTGGTATATCGTTTTTTCCATTTTTATTGTTTTTATCATTTTGGGAAGCTCCTTCATTAACTTCAACAACTCCGTCAGATTTTTTTATCCATCTGTCCAGTACGAACTTGTAAAGTTTTTTGTGATGTTTTGAATTTTTTTGCTTTCTTCTATCATAATAGTTGTCATCGTCGTCATCATTTTCATCAACAACTATTTGGACATCTTGTACATGCCAATCACTTCCAACGCCAGAACCGTCGTGCCAAACTTTCAATCTCTTTATCTGACCGAAAAAAATGTTTACACATCATATAATATGTACGCCATTGAAAATGTTGTTTGAAACTATAAGAGAACTGTTTTAGTTGGAGGTTTACCATTTTGAAGCCATGTTATTGTAAATGTCTCAAAAGTAACTTGACAAGTAGTTACTAACAGGTCCAACATGATCAGTATGTAGTTCAAACTCATCCACACATCCTCTCTCAAACTTGTTCATGTTCTTGGCTGACTTTTTAAGTTCTAACTTTTCAGTTTGTTTCTGAGATCCACAGAGTTGTACGAAGACGTTAGCATCAGTGCCCGCATTCGACACATCACTCGTTCTTACTTGCACTCGGTATTTCGCCTCTGTTGAAAATAAACCTACTTTTTAACTAAGTTTAGCATTTTATTATCAAATGGAATCAAATTTAGTTAACAGACAAATAACATGGATTGCATTGTTAGTTCATTAAAAATCATGTAAAATAAAATTATTTAAACTGTTTTTTAGAATTCATTTCATTTGATACTTGGTTTGTCGGTTTTATTCCAGCCTTCCATAACTTCTACTATTCCATCTGATTTTTTTATCCATCTGTTTAACTGAAAATTAAAAACTTTTTTCTTTTTAGCACTTCTTGAATGATACTTTGGCATTTTTTTGTTATGGTCGTCATCATCATCGTCGTCGTCGTCGTCATCATCATCATCTGTATTCTCAGCATCCTCATCATCGTCAACAAATATTTGGACATCTTGGACGTGCCAGTCACTTCCAATGCCAGAACCATCGTGCCAAATCTTCAATCCCTTTATCTAACAAATAACAATGTATCGATCCATTGAAAGAAAGCATCTAGATTGAATTGAGTAGAAAACATTATTTTAATGATTGGTCCGTGGGTCAGTTCAAAACATGCGTTCAAGGGTAAATATTGATGTCGCGTTTTGACAAGGTTGATTCAGCGCGAAATATCGACTGTCACGTACTGTGTGATATGTGTACAATAGGCAGTGTTTGCGCAATGTATATGAAAAATGTGGGATTTGAATGTACGTACAACTTAGCAGCATAAAATTTTAACTTATAAATGACGTTTTAATAAATATATAATTAGTATCAACTTATTTTTTAATTAAAAATGCAACAAGTAGTTACTAACAGGTCCAACATGATCAGCTTGTAGATCAAACTCATCTGTACACCCTCTCTCAAACTTGTTCATACTTTTGGCTGACTTTTTAAGTTCCAATTTTTCAGTTTGTTTCTGCGATCCACAGAGTTGTACGAAGACGTTAGCATCAGTGCCCGCATTCGACACATCACTCGTTCTTACTTGCACTCGGTATCTAGCCTCTGCATAAATTCAAAAAATTCAGTTTGATTGGCTTTGCCATCTGAAAGAAGAACGTGTCAGTCGAATAGAAGCAAAAGATATTATTATACTAGATCTAGATAATGTTTCTGATACAATTTGTTGCGACAACATACTCTTATAAAAGTTTGAGAAATTTTGCATCACTTATGAAAACACCGATAATAATGAGAATATTTATTGGAGTCATTGGCACAGAAATTTTATTAACTTAATGTGCCAATTAAGAAAGGAGATTTACATTTTATTCATTCAATTTCTCACTTGGTTGTTCGTTCTTTTTAGAGCCTTCCTTAATTTCCACCACTCCGTCTGATTTTTTTATCCATCTGTTCAGTTGAAAATTATAAACATTTTTTCTTTTCGGACTTTTAGAATGATGTCTTTTTGCGTTTTGGTTATGGTAATTATCGTCATCATCTTCATCATCTTCCTCCTCCTCATCATCATCAACAGCAATTATTTGGACGTCTTGTACGTTCCAGTCACTTCCAACGCCAGAACCATCGTGCCAGATTTTCAATTTTTTTATCTTGACGACGAAACAGTTCATTAAAAAAAAAATACATAAATTCAAAATTGGGAAGCAGTAAAATCTAAAATTGGGAATTCGAAAAAAATTACAAAATTTGAACACATTTCTTAAACTGATTTAATTTCAAAACGCAAACGAACATAAAACTTTTTTCAGCTGTAAAGTTATTTTCAGAGATTAAAGTTACAGTTATTACTAACGGATCCAACACGATCAGCCTGCAGCTCAAACTCATCCACGCTTCCTCTTTCAAATTTATTCAAATTTTTTGTTGATTTTTTCAACTCCAAACTCGCCGTTTCTCTCTTGGATCCGCAGAGTTGTATGAAGACGTTGGCATCCGTTCCTGCGTTCAACACATCGCTGGTCCTAATTACGACTTTGTAATTTGATGGATTTCCGGACGACTTTTTAGCATCTTCGGAATAAAGTGTCCTCTCAATCAAGCCATCATCTTCGTCTTTGGCAAGCCATTTGTTGCAGTTAAAAATTTGACTCTTGTTGTGACTCAAACTTCTAACTTTTACCTAAAAATAGTATTAATATTATTTTGGTTTTTAAATTTTATTTAACCAATATTTAAAATAAACCAATCAAATTGAAATCTTTGATAAAGCTTGCTACTCTCTAACAAAACAACAAAGCCAAAGTTAAACAAATGAAAAATATCCGAAACTTCACTAACATTTTGAAGAAACCATCCACTGCCAACACCTGATCCATCATGCCCAATCACAATCCTATCTAAGGGAAACATTCTTCGTCTCATCCTTATATTGAAAACATCCAAATGACCTCTGCTAAACTTGCCGCCTTTGAATTCAATCTTATAAGGAGGCATTTCTAGTATTTTATTTTTACTTTGGTGCAAGTTATGTTTGCCATCATTATTCATATTATTATTGCTGTAGTTGTTGTATTTATTATTACTTTTATTCGTCTTATTATTATTATTTTGGTTGCTGTTGATACTTCTTGCGTAGAAGATCGCATAAACGCTGGCCGACGTGCCGGCGTTCATTTTGTCCCCCGTTTGTATCACAACTTCGAATTCGCAATCTTCGTCATCGTCCTGTCTCTCTGTGTATCATTTATATTAAATAATATATAAATATAATATATAATATGTAAATTAATTAAAATAATTGTAAACAATGTCGAGAGTAAATGTTGTTATTCATTTTGAATAGATAAATCATAACAGGACACACACACACACACACACACACACACACACACACACACACACACACATATATATATATATATATATATATATATATATATACAATTATACATACACATTTAACTAACTGTTGGCTGTAATGTCAACTAACTACTACTTTAGAAGTTGGCTAATTTTTGAAAGTCATTTTTTATAATATCCACTAAAAATCCCAAGATCCGTAACTCACTACATGATGAATGTTACAGGACATAATACAACAAGAATGTCATGAGTGAACCAACTACCTTTTTTCTTTTTCCTACTCCCATCATCTTCGTCATCGTCACTGAAGTCAGGGATTATTTTGTTTCCTAGGTGCAAAATTCTCGACAGCTTTCCATCGGCCCTGTTTGTGGCTAGCCACTGGCGGCAGTGGAATGTGTAGGTTCTCTCACTCTTGTTGTCATCCACAACCACCTTTGACGATGATGAAGATGATGATGAGGAAAATGATAAAGATGGTTAGGATGAGCAAGAATGATAATGACTGAAACGATAAAGATTATGACGATGACAGTGAAGATGATGATGATGCATATGACAATGGCGATGAAGATGAGGGTGATAAAGAAAAACATGATAATAACGATGATAGTTAAGAAGAAGATTAAGATGATAAAGGATGATGAAGACGAGGTCGATGATGAACAAGATGATGAGGATGGCAGTGATAAGGGAGATGGTGATGAGAATTACAACAGTAAGTATAATATACATGATTACAATGATAACGATGATGGAAATGACGAAACTGAGGTACCTTTTCTAAAAACCAATCAGGACTTTTCCCGGTGTTATCATGTCTTATTTGAATCTTTGTCAACGATCCCAAATATAAACTTTCCACTTTTGATTGTGTTTCGCTTTTAAATTTTATAATTAAAAAAATATACCATCTTAATCTAAACAAATCATCAAATATTAAACACATTAACCAACAAATATATAAATATTAAAAATATTTCTAGCTAAATTAATTAAAAATTAAATTTAAGCAAGCCAGTACTTCTATTACTACTGATAAACCAAAACTAATATGTACTACTAAATAAATTAAATACAGTACTTCAATTTTGTTTGAAAAGAACTGTTTAGTAACATATTGGTGGGGCTTAGAGTTCGCCATTAATATACACATACAGACCTTTCCTTGTTTAGCGGCCCGTTTGAAATTTTTCTCTCACCAGATGTTCCCAAAGTCCCCATCAAAGTTATGAAAATGTTTGCCGAGGTTCCTGAATATTGCTTGTTTCCGGTAAAGATGGTTACGTTGTACGTCACCACTGTTGATGTTATTTGTATTGTTGATCGATGTGTTGTTGCTGATGCGATGGAGTGTGAAGTGGGGGTCAGTGCTACGTAAATGTCTATGCGACGAAGTTGTAACTATATCATTTATATCATTGCATGTTTGAAGCTCGTTTATTTGGTAGCAGTTTATATGTAAGTTTTAGTTACAAGAATTAATTGCTGTACGTCTGCATGTGCTTCTTTGATTGTATTGCAATCGTGTGTTGTTAGTTCGCCTGGCAGTGGCGGATCTACAGGGGCCTTGGTAATACTTGCATTAGAAGTCAAAAAAACTCAGCACAGAAAAAGCACACCACTTTATGTCAAAATCAAAAAAGATCGCCAGCTTAATTTTGGTCCCGTTAACACAAATCTTGGCCCGCCGTCAAAATTTGAAAAAAAAATTATACATTTTCCGAATTTTGGGCCCACGTCAAAGTTGTCTAGATCCGTCACTGTTGCCTGCTAAACTGTTGTTTCGAATAACCTCATGAAATTAGTCATATCCGCGTTATTTTGTATAAGTTCAGCAAAAATAATCGTTCATCATCAATAGATTTATTTATAGCATAAAATTTAAAGTTTGCTCCATGCACTCAACAAAACTATCTTACAAATCATTTCTTATATATGTAAGTTTTTAATAATACGAACACGTCTTGATGTCGACCGGATTGGTGCTGGTCGGTAGAATGACACTGATCAGTCCGTCTCCGTATTTGTCCTCAAGCCATCTGTCGCAATGGAAGAAGAACATCCAAGATGTGTTGTTCAAGTCAGTCAGAACAACCTTCAAGTTTGTATGTACGTGTGTGTGTATTTGTGTGTTTCTGTGTGTATATGTGTGTATGTATGCGTATGTTTGAGTATATGTGGGTTTGTAGGTAAAGTACTAACTCTTCTCAGGTACCACTTGTAACATAAGGTTCCTAACTGCTCCCTCTCCAACCTGGTTCATATCGGTGCAATGATGCATGTGTTGTGTGTACAACAACAGGGAAGAAATGAATGAATGAGTGAATGAATGCATGCATGCATGAGTGAATGAATGAATAGAAACAAACAAAAAATTTAGTCTGATAAAAATTATTCCTTAGATGAAATTAAGGACATGAATGTACAGCTACAACTTTAAAAGACAAAAATATGAAAAAATTTTTAAAAATTGAATGCACCTGATTTTAGTAACTGGGCCAACGCTTTGGGTGTTAACACGAAATACGTCACTCTGGTTTTCCCCAAACATCACCTCGTTGTTCGATTTTTCTAAAAATAACCTACCGGATTTCCTGGATTTTCCGTAGATGGTTAAAAATATCCCAGTTTCACTTCCACACATCCCTCTTACGTCACCAGTTACTATGACGACCTCATAAGCTGAGTAAATTTAGTAATACTATTGGCAGTAAAAAAATGTAATATTAATTGCATTTTTTTATTATTACTATTTTTATTTATAATAAAAACATTGACAAAGGACCAGTGTTGAAACTTTGGAATGCCGGTACGAAAAAATATTTTCAACCAAACGTCTGCTTACTCTTACGCTAATGGCAATAATTAAATTAAAATAATTCAGATTTAAAAAGTTTATTAACTTCGGCACTCTACCTACAATATTTTTTAAATCTTTCGCAACATTTTGAACGGTGTGATGGCGTAGAGGCGCCTGGTTCTGCGTTCCAGTGACCCGGTTCGAACGCAAGAAGATGCCTGACTGCCTATCATTTGCGTGAGTTGTGTGACGTGTGGTTTGCATGCATATTCATTTACTACACTGTGTGTGCTTGTCATTGATGCCTTTGAAGGGCAGTGAAAGAGAATGACTTTTAACCTTTTGACCTTTCATGAGGTTGATTAAAGTAACAGTGAAGAGTGACAGAAGGGTGATCATATAAAGAACAAATTCTAACATCTCCAAGAATTTCTTGAAAATAATAAAACTTGAACGATTATTAGTAATGAAACATTTGAGATTATGAGAATGCTGAAAAAGTCAGTTACTTGTGTTAAGAGTGTGTTTCGAGTAGAGATGCCTCTTCTTAAGTTTATCTCCTTTGAACAACGACAGCCAATTGTTGCAAGGAAATATAAAAATATTGCTATCGCGGTTGTGCTTGCTGCTGTTGTGGCTGTTTTTAATGGCAGTAGTTGCTCTATTTGCTGTTGGAGATTTGGAAACTTTAACTTTCTTCAGGAACCAAGAATCTTCTTCGTTCACGCCGTCATGCTGGGTAGCGAAGAAAAGAAAAATACACAATGCAGCCACTACAACTCTTCAGTGTCGTTGTTCGTTTTACAACTTATATCATCATTATAAATAACAGAATTGACACATACAAAGTAGATAAAAAGTACTTACATAAGCACTTGGTAGTAATATTGTTATGGATCTAACTTAAAATTAAATTATAATGGTATATATGTACATATGCGTGTATGTTTATGTGCATGTTTGTCTGTCTGTGTGTGTTTATTTGTTTGTTTATGTGTGTGTGTGTGTGCGTGTGCGTGTGTGTGAGCGGAAACATTTGTTAAGTCTATTACATTCTTCCAAAGTTTAGAGCATTTAACGACACACACAAACAGCGTATATGAATACGTGCTAAACGACGCAGGTGATAGGTGGAGATGCTTTCCTCACATTCGAACCAGGCCACTGCGTAAAAGGACCAGGCGACCTTAACCACTAGGCCACCATGCCGCCAATTGTTGATTTATCCGCTATACAACCTCAACGACGACAGATACGACGTCTCCGATGTCTCTGGCCTCGAAAATGAAGGCATTTGTTGTCGACGGATTGAATGAGAATGGCTTCTCGATGTTCGTGCATTCTTTCTTCGTCAGATGGCGTCTGGGAAGGTCGCCCAGTTGACCCTTCAACGTAATGAACACCTACGTATTTCGGAATGTCGTGAGAGTATTGTAACATGTTTTATTGATTGGATTGATTGATTAATTATAATTAACGTTTAAATAATTGAAATCAGTTTTGCGTGGCCAAGCAAATGACTGCTTAATAACTGACTTATTAACCGTTTGTTTGATTAATTGATAATTGATTGATTGATTGGTTGGTTGGTTGATTGATTGATTGATTGATTGGTTGGTTGGTTGGTTGATTGATTGATTGGTTGATTGATTGATTGATTGATTGATTGATTGATTGATTGATTGATTGATTGATTGATTGATTGATTGATTGATTGATTGATTGATTGATTGATTGATTGATCAAGACAGCCAACCCTGGCAGATGTTTTAGCATCTTTTTGTGGTCCCGTCGTCACAGCAACCTTGTACTTCAAGCGATCTGATTGGCTGACAACTTTGTCCATTTCATTAGACACCACTGGAGCCTGTTATATTAACAACAATAAAAATAACAACAACGGTTTAACTAATAATAAAAACAATAAGAACGGAAACAACCTTGCTAGAAGACAAATAAACCGGGTCTATGTATGATCTTTGGTGTCCCGGCTTTTTATTATTTGTTGGCGATTTTTTCACAGAGGCAGCAGTGGATGGGACCAAAAAATTCTTCGTGAAAGCGTTCACCAGCAGCCCGTTTCTCTCAATTTTGGCTGCTTTTTGTTTAAATGACGACAATGCTAATAACTATTATAATGAAAATATTAGGATAACAGCTTACTTTCTTCAGCTTTGTTCAAATTCACGAATGAGTTGCTCTTCTTAAGAATTGATCTCAACGGCTTTGTCCTCATGGATGGCACATCACTGTTTCTTGCAAACTCCCCACAATTCACTAATTTATTAGGTTGTTTAGGTTAGTTGTTAAAATATAAACAATTTTTTGAATGAAAATAAATGAAAATTGAATAAAACAACCTGTGTGACAAGTCGTAAACTCGTCCGAGAAGTTCACCAAAGTAACTGATCTTTTCAAACTGCTGAAATAAAAAATGCGAAACTTAACATTTATTTCAGGATAGCTCATCATTTGAATAAGAAACACTCACTACAACTCAAACAAATGAAAATGATAATTACTGATGATGGTGTAATGCTTGTAATGAAGACGCTTTGTCCGGTCTTGCTGTCACTGGGCTCGAATCAGAGATACGCAAAAGATAAAGGATGCTTGTTACGCTTGTCTTCGTGGATGGCACATCACTGTTTCTTGCAAACTCCCCACAATTCACTAATTTATTAGGTCGCTCAAGTTAGTCAACCATTAAACTCGCTGAGGTGAGTAGGTTATGTGGCTGGGATCTCTTGAGTGATGCAACAGGTGCAATAGGAAAAAACAAACTACAACCTTTGTTATGAACGAATTAAATAAAAAACAATAACCTGTTGTTACAAACGGAAAATCCGTTATTAGCAGGTCTCGTGTTGCTCAATTTGAAATTTTCTGAGTTCATTTTAGTGACTGAGCTCTGTGAAAGTGTTGTTAAACTGCATTCAAATCCGGAAGAATTTGTGAGAAAACCAACGACGGCCATTATTTTCAGATGTTATTTGATTTTTTAGAAATTCAGTTCTCAACGCAACAGGCAATCTATATTTTTTAGCTAGTACTATTAAAAATATCGTTTTAAAAATTAAAGGAACAACATCAGTGTCGTTATTTCGAACTTTAAAATTATTGAATGAAATAATTTTAATGACTGTCATCTCGTCTCACCGGTCCGCCTTCATCATTAACAACAGACAGGACAAAAATTCAACTAACTACTAAAATGTTTCGAAAATGAAATTGTGTCGTATTTTATTAATAGATGTCTGACATGTGAATATAATAAATAAAGATATATAAATATAATATGTTACATACACACGATAACATACAAAACACGTTTTCACGTTTGTGGTTAGGTAGCTAAGTGGGCGAGAGAGAGAGAAAGAGAAATATTTTGACAGAATAATATTTTGACGACTGGCTGTTTATTGCAGTCATGGTAACACGTAGAAGCAGGTGCTAGGTTAAGGTAAAAGGAAATTTAAGTTTAAATGATCAAAGGCCGTTACAATATAGCTATTCCAGGTATATGCAATATAGCGGATCAAAGACTGTCGAGTATTATAAACGGAAATCTTATTAAGTTTCTTAATAATTGAATGATGACCGGCACACATGTTAATCAATGGCACTGATTCTGACCAACCCATCGTTAATGAGCCGCAAACCAACCTTGCGACATCAACAACGAACGCGTAGATGAACGGTTCAAACGCCAATAAAAGATGAATGTAAATGCGATAGACGTTGTGTTTACAAAAAAAAATAATAATGTTAACTAAAATTGCAATAAAAATTAACAATAATGACATTAACAATAATGACACGAGGGTCTGATTGATGGATTTGCAAAATGTGTTGTCGCGCAGGTTTGTTGTGCAATTTTGTTGTAATGGTCCGTAGCACGCGACTTCATTTGTAAATTATTTGTAATAATAATTAAAAAAGATTGGGAATAATTAACAGAGATATTATATTATTGTTAACAAGTGTATCAATGCATCTTATTTTTAAATTTGTATTTACGGGCTCCCTTGCCACTCATCCCGACGATCCCAACCTAACAAATCAATAAACTCAAACTAAACGTCCAATGGTCCAATCGAACGTTAAGACGTTACTTCGTAGTTTGTAGTCGCTAGCGTCTCTGTTCATAAAGAGGTCTTAAAACGTTCTAGTTGGCAAAGTTTGAACGCCGCCGAAAAAATTTATCCTAGCTTCCATTCACCCAATTAATTTAAGTGAGGTAAATTTCGTTCGACTCCGACTGCCAACCTAGTTTTGCAAGAAGTTTTACACATTTAAAAGTGTAAGAATCATGTACCGGCTCCTTCAATTGAATAAAAAGTTTAAAAAAAGATTTCAAAAAGTGTCGGCCACCGGGGAAGGTGGGTGTTTTGCCCAGACCCGGGATTGAACCGGGGACCTTTAGATCTTCAGTCTAACGCTCTCCCAACTGAGCTATCTAGGCCGACAAGTAAAGTAAAATTTATTATCTATTTAAAGTAGTTCAAAACATTTTAAAATGTGTTTTTCATTTTAAATTGTTTACTTTTCTTAAAATTTTTGTTTAACAAAATAGATTTGTTTTTAATTTTAAAATCAATGTTAAATGTTAGCATGGTTCTGCAAAACAACAACGGTGTTGTTATGACTTTGAAGTTAGATAGACTAAAGCATTTATAACCTCAATTCATTTTTTACTCTATAAAACAAATGTCAACAATCTGATTTTTTTTTAAATTGAATAAAATGTTTGCCTTAACTTCAAGTTCTAACGGCGACGAAAATTTAACGAATAATGTAACGGAAACTTCTTCAGCAATTTTTAATTTCAATTTATCTAACTTCACTAGTTATTATTCTTCCGGTAAACTAGTAACCAGCATGAACCACTCTTCTTCATCTGTCCCTGGCATCAACCTCAACTTGACCAGTCACTGCATCCACGGATCTCTCACAGGACCATTGGGATTATTCGTTCAGGCCTTACTTGCTCTCATTGCCTTTAGTGCCTTAATATGTTTGTCTTCTCTTGTTTCTTCTGTTTACTTTTTTATTGCTAATAATTATTTTATCTTTTTTTTTTACTTTTTTACGTTTACAAGTTAGAGTTAGACCAAGTCAAAGCTGACCAGCAAAGATACGGCCAGGATGCGTTTTTTAGTAGAAATTAAACTTAACAGTAAGTTCTAGCAATAATTAACATAATAAGGCTATCAATATCAATAGATGAGAGCTAACTAAATTAGAGAACCTAATAAAAAACATAAATCCTAAAGCTAGCTAGCCTTTCTAGTCCAGACTAGACAAAAATAATATTTTTAATTTTTTAATAGTATTAAATATTAAAATAAGTTATATATAATTATTTTTTTAAATTTAAATAAAAATGTGTAATGCACTATTTATTTTTTTCCCTTGTGCTTGTGTGTCTTGTGTGATAGTTTGATAGCAACGGTAAACATTAAGCAAGAAATAGCCCTTATAATATAAATAAATGATGTTATAATCTATGATTGATGGATTGAATTTTTTCAAAAAATTCATCATTAGTGAAGCGATTTTGTGAACCAGTTAAAACAAGAAGAAAATGGAAAATATGGTATGTTTTGTTCCTATATATAAAAATTGATAAATATGAATAAATAAATTTGTATATTGTGTGTGTGTGTGTCTGCTTGCTTGTATATGTTTGTTGTGTCTTACATATTCCTGACATTGGCATGTTAAGTTGATTGTCTTTCTTTCAACACCTCGAATGATGATGTACTGAACAACACGTCATTACATGACTATAACTTTGTTATTGCTTCTCAAATGGAAATGATAATGATGATGATATAATAATAATGATGGTGATGTGAAGAGGATGATGATAATGATGGTGATAATGGTGATGTGAAGAAGATAGTGTGGTGTTACTGACATCTATCCAACAAACTGATGTAATATTGATTAGAGTATAAATTTTCCAAAGGTGGTTTGACACTTCGAAGCAGGCAGTTGGGGCCGGTGTCATTCACATTGCCAACGTCATCCTGTCTGAATATCTTTTCCAAGGAGACCCTTGCACATGGTCGTCAAATTTATGCTAATTAATTTGTTAATTATTTGCTTATTAAATTAATTATTCAAGTTAATTAATCATTTTATTTATCTATTTAATTATTTATATGTAAATTAATTATTTAAGTTAGTTATTGAAAAATTTATTTATTATTAATTCAATTAGTTCTTTATTTAATTTGAAGTTAATTAATTATGCAATTTAATTTGAAGTTAATTAATTATGCAATTAATTATTTTCTAAATTAATTCAATTAATTTATATTTAATTAATTAATCGCTAAATTGATTTGTCATAAAATCTTGTAAATAAATGAAAAAACAAATAAATAAATGATGAGTAAATAATTAAATAGATAAATGAATAATAAAATAAATGTTTCTCTTGCAGGTACATAATTAGCTTCATGCTTGACTCGACGATAGGTCTTATAATCATCTGCATCTGTTTGAAGATCTCGTTGAAAATTATTTTAAGGAGAGGATGGGATCACCTCATTTTTGGAACCTATCGTTAGTTTTTCGGCCTGCTAGTTCGTGCTACTGCATTTGTTTGCTTGCTTGCTTGTTTTGTTTGTTTGTTTGCTGGCTCTTTTTGTTTGTTTATTTGCTTTGCTTTGTTTGTTTATTTGGATGTTTTTTTGTTTGTTTGCATGTTTATTGAAATTTTTTGTATTGCTTTGTGATTATTTACAAATGATTAGCAGAAAGTTAAGATGGTAGTGAATCAAAAATTTAAAAATGTTCAAATAAGGAAAAATTATTAAATGTATGATATTTTAATCTTATTGGAACCAATGATTTAAAAAATGATCAGAAAACATGAAGATGATGATAGTTCATAAATTGAAAAATATTTCCTTCATCAGAAGGTTTTACCAATGACGTAGCATATTATTCCTTTTTGAAATTTACCTGACATTGGTTGTTTAATTGAAAATGATTGATTGGCTGGCTGATTGACCAATAAAGTGACTAATTGATTAATTACTAATGCATAGCTCCGCCTTCTCCGTGTAAATCATGGCTGTACCAATGCACCATCTACGTTGTCGTCATCATCTTCGAAAAGTTCCTCATTACTCTACTCACCTTATTTGATTTCTGGAAGAAGGTTTGTGGTTCCATTTAAATGGACTGCTTTCTATTGCGATGATGTTGAAGACATGCTGATGATGGTAATAATGTTAGTAATGATGATGATGTTGATGATGATGATGCTGATGATGATAATGCTGATGATGATGACATTTCAGGTAGTGTCGCTGTTGCTGTCAGCATCAATTGATGCTACGGTGGAGCTCATAGTGGTCATGTTCATTATTCCCATCATCATTAATGTTGGTTGCATTATTTAAAAAAATTACGATGTTAATGATGATGATTATTATTATCATTGTTATTATTATTATTATTATTATTATTAAAAATTGTATATCTTGCTTTTACATCCTCGTCAAGTTAAATCTATCGTCAGTCACACACAACTCATGAAGTGGCAGCTAATTGCATTCTTACACACACTCATACACAATTGCTGTTACTATCATCATTACCACATCATCTTCATCACCATCGTCAAATCTTATCACCATCATCACATATCATCATCACCATCATCATCGCTACCACACATCACCGCCACCAGGCTCTGATCTTCTGGATAGTGGACAACTTCCTCAAACTTCATCATCCTCCTACTCAGTCACCGAGGAAATACCAGCTCTTCGACGATGATGACGACGACGACGATGATGATGATAGTGATGACGACGATGATGACGACGACGATGACGAAAATGATAATAATGACGATCTCACTCGTCGCTTCCATGGCCAGCGTCGCTACGACAGTGGTCCAATTAATAGTACTAGCAGTTTACGAGACGCTAACGATAACAATGATGACGTCGTCAGTAGTGGTGGTGCTGGCGATGATGATGGAGAGGACGATGATGACGTTTATAGGGTCAAAGTTGATGACGATGATGACGGGAGCAAGGAATGTAATAGATTGCTTATGGCTACTCCTTTTAGATGATAGCATAGAACCAGCTGTGTGATAAATTTATTGATGATAAAATTACTGTATAACAGTGAGTGAGTGAGTGTGTGAGTGAGTGAGTGAGTGAGTGAGTGAGTGAGTGAGTGAGTGAGTGAGTGAGTGAGTGAGTGAGTGAGTGAGTGAGTGAGTGAGTGAATGTGGGAGTGGGGAGTAGTGATTTAATTCTACTGGTAGACTGGTAGTTATTGACTTTTTTTTTTGATTATTTTTAATATTAATTTAATTATTATTCTCGTTTCATAAATTTGATTAAGTTAATTAGTTAATTAAGTAAGTACATAAGTGAATAGGTAATTAAAATAATGGTAAATTTTCTATTTGTAATTCTCTTTAATCATGTTGATCAAACCATTTTATTTTACTTTTTTGTATTCATAAATCCTCATCATTAATGCATCATCACCTTGTTATCGTGATCTTTTTGATAATGTGTAATATTCTCATCACAACTAATTACATTGTCATCATCACATCAGTAATTCATCATCGTCGTCGTCATCATCATCATTACAACCATGACTTAATTCTGTGGTTGCCAGTTATAGTGAATTGCTGTTACATTCTAGTCACTACCACACCTCTGAAATGAGTCTTAATTTTGTATAATAATTTGCTTCAATTTTTGCTCTTATGTTGTAATTAATTAATTGTGTAATTAATTTTATTATTAACTGCATTATTATAATTATATAATTAAAGGGCATTTAGTAGTAGTAGTAATAGTAGGAGATGCATCAATAGCAAATGATTTGTAACAACTAATTGATTGATGTCGCGTTTTCCTAGTCTATTCAGTCCATTAGACGCTTGCTTAGTTGCTACTTTTTAATTTGACCGTTTCACTAATTTGCTTTCCGCCGTGCGATTCTTATTTGCAGCTTTCATTAATTGCTTGTTGCACGTTTGCCTCAGACTACCTGTCTCAAATTTTTTTATGATAATATTTATGTATTTTGTATATGCAGTTTCTATTGGACGATACAGCTCAGATAGCTAGTTACTCGGATTCCCAGTGTCGTGCTTCGGTAGCTAGGTTCGATTGCTAAGAAAATCCTGACAATTATACACAAAAGTCTGTCCGTAGTAACTAGTAACTGCCATCTCAATTACTTAGTTCTTCTGTTAGATGACAAGTAGTAGCAATGATAATACTTGCCATTTTATTGTTATATTCATTATGAAATATTTACCATATAATCTATTTTATTATATTATTTATTATCTTCAGTAGTTTGATATTTCATAATTTTAATTATTATCCCAGGATATATATACATTTTTTTACACATTCACTTGCTTCATGCGCGCACACACACATACACACACACACACATATATATATTATATATATTTATTTATATTTATTTATACTCAAACCATTTTTTATGCCCCTAATTGAATATTCTCAATTAATTCCATTATTTGATATCTTAAAACTTTGCTTTTGTTTGTTTTTTCAAGCAAGCTTTATGCAATCATTAATTAAACGTAATTTTTATGTTATATAAGCCTATATGTATATATATATATATATATATATATATATATATATAAGGCTTATAATTTGCTTGTAAAAAATTATTTGCTAAAATATCATAATTATATAAGTTTAAGTTATTATTTAATTAATTAAGGAGTGTGCCTTTTATTTTCTTAAATTTATTTCAGTTTAGTAGTCATTATTATATAGCCCTACTCATCTTTTCTTTCATTTAAAATGACGACAACGACGAATTCGCAAAAAATTACATACAGGAGGTCAGGAATGTTTTATTTTGTCTGTTTTTAAGATTTGAAACGAAATTATGTTTCTTGTGTGTGTTTGTGTGTGTGTGTGTTTGTGTGTGTGTGTGTAAAGTTTTGGTGAATTCACAAGAACGCTCTTTTATAAAGTTTTACATGTTTAATTTGTTTTTCAGAAATTATTTTTTGTTTAGATTAATGAAACAGGCAATACATGTTTATGTTGTACCAATGTCAACTTTACTGTTTTATATTTCTATTTTTAGGTCTTTGTTATTACTCTTTCTTGATATGTCATATTTCCTGTCGTCATCTTCACCATCATCCACATGATCATCGTCAATGGGCAATACAGGGTCGGTTTCTAATCAGTAGTTTGTTATTTATGAATTGAAGAAAATTCATTCACTAGTTGTTTTTATATTTTACTCTGTGTAGAACATTTATGTCTTTATTCTGCAACCTTTCACTTCTTTGTTCATCTCACCCCCTCCCATCTTTTCATCCCTGGCTTCTTCTTCAAAAGAGAAACACGAAGTATCCCATGTCGATGCAGAGGTTTCTCAGCCAAGTCATCAGTCTGAAGAGGACTAACTTTATGTAGATCGGAGCGGCCAGCTTCAAAATATCCAGACCTATAGCTTGATACTCCCCCTGCCAATTTACGTTTTTTGTTGACAACGCGAGAGGTAATGTGGCCAGAGCGATCGCTATGAGAATTGTCCGAATGAATTGGGAACATTTAGATATGAATTTCGTGAACAGAATGGCTAAACAGAATGCAGTAATTATAAAGACAACGTTGCTGTTCGATTTTTCTATCGATGGTATCATGCCAGAATACCAGACGACATCAGCTAGATAAGCCAGAGCGAAATAGGAGAAGGTTTCGAATAACCCTTTGCCAACATTTTTGGTGAATGTTTTAATTCTTGATTCTTCTTTAACCTTTCTGCCCCTTCTGCAACTAGTGCTTCTTTTTCTAGATCTTGATCTCGATCTCGACCGTGACCTACGCATTGCGATTAGAGTTATCTGCGAAAAGGTTATTCAGGGCATATAATTAATTGATCAATGTCCAACTAATCAATGAATTTGCTAGTTTATTTATTTTCTCTTAAAATAGTATTAATGACAAGCGGTCGTTAATCGTTTGTTAGATAATAATGATTAATTGAACCAACCATTACCTATGATATAATTACACTTTTGTCGGCAATTATAATAAATCCATTAATTTTATCAATCGACAGTTTCGTAGCGAATTTAATTTCAGAGATATTTTGAAGTTCAGTTGTGATGGAAGATGAAAATGATATCCGTGATATCCGCGAAATTTTGTTGGTTATTTTTGTTTATTTCAAAACTTTTTAAATGACGTCAATGATGACTTGCGTCAGCAAACAAAACATTTTAATGTTAACTTTAAAAACTATCCATAACTAATTCAATTAATAAAAACATCCTTAATTATAAATTTTCCGCGAATAACTCCACTTTATCTTCAATCGTTGAGATATCAATTTTTCAAAAACGTGGTGCTATGCTTTTTAACACGAACTGTTAAAAATCGACATTTACTTTTAAATGTAAATACATAAAAATGTTACTTTTAAGAACTAGTTTTTAGGGTAGCTTCTTAGGACTAATTCTGCAGCAATTAAAAATCCCTTGCTTGCCGGAAAATATAAAACAGATTTCTATTTATTTTCGACAAGTTGCAACAGTAAAAAAAGTATTCAATAAATTCATTCAGTCAATAAAGCAAACCAGTTGTCTATGTTATGTAGAATAATGTAGATGTAGTACTACATTACTATTGTCTAACTGTAGTACTTCTTAAACAGAAACATAAACAAATTAAATTAAAAACTTAACTATTAAACTTTATTTAGTTTTGTTTTTCAAAATAAACATGGATTATGATGCCCCAGTTATATATGGCCTTGAATTTCAAGTATGAAAAAATTAAATATTTATTTAATTAATTTATATTTAATATTACAAATAATATTTATTAATTTATATTTTTTAATTAATAAATAATTTTTCATTTATTTATTTATAAAATTTACTTTTTCATCCCATTACCGATTTAAAAATTAAGTTTATTTATTTTAGTCTAGAGCTCTGACATCTTACTCAGCTGAAAATGATCTTGTTCAATTTTTTGTGGGAACGCAATCTCTACGATGTACAAATCAGGTAAATTTTTATTAATTAATATAATATCTAATGATTAATTAAATAATATAATCAGGTTAAAGTTTAGCTTTTTATAATTAATAATGTTTTTAACATTTCTTTGAATTTGAATAAATATCATGTTTATCTTTTATCTACGGATTTCATATTACAATAAAATGTTAATATTTTTATTTATTTCCATCCAAGATTCACTTGATAACATTCGATGATGAGGCCAATTCCATTAGCAAGCAAATTTTCAACCATCCGGAGGGTGAAATATGGTCATTAGCTACACCACCATCTCAGAAAAACATCCTTACTTCAGTTTACAGCAAAGGTACCTTTTTTATAACTATGTTTTTAATAAATTAATAAATATAACTTTCATCATCTTCATCATCATGTTTGGAAGCATTTGCTCAGAGCCAAGTTAATATTATCCAAGCATTTGGGAATCATTCAAATAAATGACCCAAACATGCCTTTCAACGATTCAGTATGTGATATGCCCAGGTTCTAACCAAATACCATTCTAATCCAAAAATGGCAAATGATATTTGTTTCAGCACACATTTTTACCTTTCACCGTGCTTTATTCACCATATTGTGTTTTGAATGTAATATTGTATCTTATATGGATAACTTTTATTCTATTTCTTTCAAACCCTATTTAGTGAATGGAAACAAGACAGAAATGCAGGCCACTGTGTGGAAATTTATTTCAGAAGATGGCGACATTAGCAGTAAGCAGATATTAATTCTGTCATCAATTGCTGAAAAATATTTATCAGCAATTACCACAAATTATATAAAAATATTTCCCAATTAAAGTTTCTGATGAAGAAAACACGATCACATCAACATTAACTGAAATCTTCAAGATTAATAATTCAGATCTTGGTGACATTAAAGGGTTTGGCATTTTTCATGATTACTTTCAATGTGGATGAAAGATCTTTGTCGTCAATTGTTGTCACATTGTACAAATGTTTGCACTCAGCTCCAAACTGTGTGGCTTGCATCATGGGTAGGAATCTCAAAGCTGGTTGTGTTAAATGACCAGAAACACAAAAAAATAAATTGCATTTTTTGTTTCGCATTTGTTAAGAATAATATTTCTTAAAATTTTATTTTCATTAAATTAGTACAAACTGAAACTTGTGTTTATAAATTCTAGTTTTTTGTGGTATCCATCTGTTGAAAAAAATGACTTTGTAGTTCTCATAGAGAACCACATTCAACTCTACTCACTTGATATTAATGGCTCGAGTGCTGCAGTGAGTTACCTGCTTATTTGCCTATATCTCAAATTAAATTAAATGTCTATTATTTGTTCCTTTGTTCTTTTATTCAACATTTTATCTATCCATCATCTTCCAGTTGATATCAGAGACAATGATTGATGGCAAGTTGCATCCCAAATTTACAACCGGCATCTGGGACCCACACCACAACTGCACATCCATTGTAACTGCACAGGATACTTCCGTCAAGGGTTGGGATCTCAGGAGTATGAAGTTAGTCTGTCGGTTTACTTTAATGTTGAGGGTTGAAAAACGTGTTTCCTTCAAGTTGGCAGTTTTGATGTTTAAATGTGTCAATAATACAGCACCTCCCTACCTCATCGATAGATTGGAATCATACAAATCTCATTTTTCAAAATATTCCTTCCGATCAACCGAGCGCAATTTATTTTTTATCCCGACCACAAAGTTGGTGACGGGTTCCCGCAACTTTGCGGTTCTTGGCCCGATTGTTTGGAATGGTTTACCTCCATACTTACGTGACCCTAACCTATCATATTTACAATTTCGAAGTCAACTTAAAACTTATTTATTTGCACAATGAATGTCCGTCTTATTTGTCTATGATTTAGTAGCGCTTTCGAGATTCAACAATAAAAAAGCGCTGTATATAAATTTCCGTAATAATAATAATAATAATAATAATAATAATGTAATTTGTCTGTCCCATTAATTTATGACTCTTTCATTTTTATGGCGTCATTAGTATTCCAATTGATTAAAGTTTCATTAAATTCTTTTTCCATCATGTAGGCAAACGTACACAATAGAGAATGCACACACCTACCTTGTCAGAAACCTCAGCTACAACCCAAACAAGCAATATTATGTTGCAAGTTGTGGTGATGACTGCAAAGCCAAATTCTGGGATGTTAGAAAAGTCAATGAGCCAGTTAAAATTCTGAATGATCATTCCCATTGGTCTGACGTTTTGTTTGCATAATTTATTTTGAATTATTGTCAGCCACCAATCAACCCAATCAATCTGTGCAGGGTGTGGAACGTTAAATACAATCACTTCCACGACCAGCTTGTGCTCACATCAAGTAGTGATGGTACAGTACTCCTCAATAATCTATCATCAATTTCATCGGAACCATTTGGGAACCTTTTAAATGATGAAGATGGCGACGATGACAACGAGGCGGATAAGAATGAGTGAGCTACTTCAAAGAAATTTAATTTTTACTAAGCATATTAACATTTTTAAAAATTTTTTTGTAAATTCAGCCACCATTCAACTCTGGCGGACGGAATAGTGATGCGCTATGACGAGCACGAAGACAGTGTATATGCCTTGGAGTGGTCGTCGTCTGATCCCTGGTTGTTTGCTTCCTTGAGTTACGATGGTCGACTCGTTATGAGCAGGGTGCCGCGATCAATCAAGTATCAAATATTATTATGAACATCAATGAATGCTGCATGAATGTACTTCCAATATAAATCTTAATATAATAATTTAATTGTAAATCTTTCCAGTTATATTATGTTAATTATATTGATTGTTGTACAAAGCTCAAAAACATTCCTTTGTGAATTTTTTGTATTTTCTCGAACAAATTTAGCAAATAAATAAATAATATCAATAACAAAAACTTTTAATTAGCTGAATTAAAATAAACGTAAAAGTCGGGACAGTAAAGTATAGTGCATAACTCAATAAGCAGGAACGTCAATTTAATAATGCTTAAAAGATAGAAAAAAATGACATTATTTAATGTGAAAACTCAACAGATTTAATGCACATATATAGAAAGAAGACCACACAACATATATTTTCAAAATAGACAAAATTAACCATAGACCTAATGCTGAAAATGTGATGATATTTACAGACATCTATTACAATTTCAATCCTAGCTCTACATATATTTCTGTATATGCACTGCACACATATATATATGTGTGTATATATATATAGTATATATATATATATTATATATATCCAATTCATATCTATGTATATAGTCTTTATTATTATTATTAAATCACATTATTATATGCGTGCATATATACCCACTAACACAATATTCATAAAAACAAAATCAAAAAATTGTTTGTCTTTTTAAAAATATTACAACATTTTTATCATTATAAAAATTTTAGAGGTTGCTAGGTTTAAATGAAATAAGATACTACTATTTACACGAACCAGTAGCACTCATTTCAGTAGATGTGTCACTACTTTCAGAAAATTCTTTCGTATTTTTATCCCATTCCTGATTTTCAACAAAATATCTGGCATGAGGGACCCAGGATATTCCACCCACTTTTGCTATCTCCAGTATTATCTTGCCATTTTCTGCCTTTAATTTGATATGCATTGTCTTTAATGATTCATTTAATTAAACAAATGTAAATTTTCGTTGCCAATATTATAAGTACTCAACAAAACCTTGAAGTTAGATTTTGATTCATCCAAGTCCTCTGGTGTTGGTCTGTAATAATTGTATATAAACTTCTCCATTACATTGTCTATGGTTACTTTCACATCTATGGATCTGTAAAAGAAAAGCTATTTCAATAAATTTTGAAATTTCCAATGAAGAAAAGATTTGACACAAGCAACATATTACAAAATACATATTCAAATGTTTAGTAATTAATATATTTAGATTTTGCTGTATACATGTAAGCATGGTAAAACATCAGATGACTATGAATGTATTTAAAAATTAATAAAAGTTACAATAACTTTCTCAAGCAATATATTGAAATACACGAAAAATCCTAAAAATTTACATACATTTATCTAAATTAGATAAAAGAGTCTGCTATTTTATTTATCTTATATAATTGGTGTATGCCATCACGTACTTAATGAACATCTTTATCAGTGTTATATATTGGATTGCAATAGAATCCTACAGGTTTTCATAGTACTCACTTAATTTCAAAATGGTATAGGTATCAGGGAAAGTTAGTAACACTGTAATGAAGAGATTAGAATGATTAGATTAAAATATTATAATAGGAATAGATAGCAAAAAAATTGCCATGATCTTCTTAAAAAGTAAACAATTATAAAGTCTCACTTATTCTTATTTTATCATTTTAATTTTTAACATTAGAAAGTAAAAAATTAAAATTAGATAGTATATAATTGTCATAAATGTTACAAACTGTTTTGTGAACTTGCAATTGATGTCTATGTTATCAGGAACTCTTTTTGAGTACCTCAACCTGCTTCTTGTCAACTTCAGCTCTGGAATACACAGAGAAATGCATGCATAACCCATCTTAGGCACATTATCATGGAATGTGACTGCATGCAAATGAATGATAAAAATATTTTATTCAACACACGAAAAATATTTCGCAGGATTTAATTGTTTCAATTAATTAACTTTAATTAATAATTAATTTATTTATAATTTAATGGAAAAAAATGTTTTATTAAAAAATAATAAAACTTGGGGCTGGATATTTCGTTTCAGTTTTAATCAGTGCAGAAAACATTTTAAAATTTAAACTAGTTTGCATATAAAATCTGAATAATCATTATAGTAAATAAATTAAATCGTAACTGAGGGCGAGACACTATCGAAAATAAACATAAAACGAGAAATCCGATTCCTAATTGAAATCCCCTTTCGGTTCGATTAAATCTACCAAAGATAAAGCAGCCTCTTTGAGAATTAGATTACAAAATCCCAATAGAGTATATAATTCTATATATATATATATATATATATATATATATATATTGAATGCATTCCATTTATATAAATATTATGATGATAATGGTTAATCCCTTCTAATATATTACAAGAAGAATCAATTGTACTGACCGTATTGACCTGACACGGTGTACGCAAATACTGGTTAATAAGCGTCTCACACACACTGCATATGCACATGACAAACAGGACGTGGCGATCTCTGCATTCGAATGCGATCACTGCAAAGTATGACCAGGCAGCTTCGACCATTGTACTATCTTGCCGTCCATACATACCGATATATGTTATCGACAGTATTCTTACAACTGTTATTTATATTATTATTATTATGATTCATTATCATTCTATTTAAATGGTTTAATGTCACTTGCATGATTTGTCTTCATAATTTTCATTAAATTTCTCATGAACAACTTTGTCATAGTTTTATTCGTTTACGTAAATAACGATGATCAAGTTTGAAAAAACCCATATAAATGATGAACTGTAAGGGTTAATCCCTTCTAATATATTACAAGAAGAATCAATGGTGATGTGTTATGATGGAGATGCTGAACGTAAAACGTGACGTAAGAAGCCAATGAGAATTATTTGATTCAGTTGTATTAAAAATATGATTAGTTAGGTTACCGTGCCACGTTGGTCAAGTAGGACCAAGACTAACAATTTGAGAATATCCCCAAAAGTTTGTTGAAAATATTTATTTTACAAAATACATCCTCCTGTTTTAACAAAATTATTTACAAATTGAAATCAAATTAATTATCTAATCAATAAATAAATTAATTAATCAATTAACAACTATTAACATTTTCGATTAAATCACAAAACTAACATTCACTAAACATCAAATATCAAAATTTAAACTTTAAGAATTTCATGAAGAAACTTCAGCCAACAAACAAACGAACATTCAGCGCGAAAGCAAATAAGATTGATATAAAATAGAGCAGACGATGTGAACGACACGTAGGAGATCCCTGATAAAGATACTGCGAGAAGTAACTTTGGTGTCTAACCAGGTCTTCCCTCTTCTTGCTGGGACATTTAACGGCGGCATTAATGTTCCTCCAGTTGCAGTGGTTTTCCCTACAGTGGCATGTCCAACTATCCCGATACTCCGTACATTGGTTCGTCCCGTTCAGCCACCAGGCGCATGTCCGGATTACTTCTGGAAAAAAAAGAATTACTTCTGTGGATTACGTGGTTGGTCGTGTGTTGTTGTGGATGAGTTGTTTTGGCTTTTTTTTGTTGTTGAGGATGATGATCGTTTAGTTGATTGAAGCTATTTGTGGTTTTCTGTTTTGTGTTTCTTGGTTAGGTATTTTAGTTGTAATTTTGAAGTTGGGGTGGGGTTATAGTTTTGTATGCTGTTGCTGCTATATGCATTGGGCATATATTATGCATGTATATTTGAGTGCGTGTGTGGAGAACTAAATGATTAAGTTCAGGAAATATTTTATAAGATTTTTCATTATAAAGCCTAATTTCTTTTAAAACAACAAAATCATCAATCTAACTAAACTCACAAAATCTTAAAATCATACCACAAACAACTACAGAAAACTTAAATCATACCAACAAACCAGGATACAGAGAGCTAGACAAACAAACAAACTGACAGACAAACACAAACAAACAGACAGACAAACACAAACAAACAAACAAACTTCCTGTCATCAATTTGATGGTGTAGCAAAATCTGCCATTGCACTTCAAAACGACAGGATCGGTGACGTTGATTGGATCGTTACAACCGTGCTTGTAGTACGAGGAGCCTCTGCAGTCGAAGCAGGTTATTTCGGGTAAGTTGGCCCACGCTACTACTTCAGTGGTGGCAGGGGTAACTCCAAACGAAAGAACTAAAATGGAAAAAAATAAAATGTTCATTTGCTTCAAATGAATTCGTTCAGTTAGGTGGTTTAAAAATTTTCTCGCAGACTGTTTGCTTGCTTGCTTATTTGTTTGTGTTTTTGTTTACTGTTTAATGTCGTTTGTTTGTTCGTTGCGTGTAACGTTTTTTGAATGGTCAATTGACGTTTTTAAGGACATTGGTGATGAGGACCACAATGAAGATGGTGGCGATTTGACCAAAATGATGACGAAATATTGTGTCAATATTAATGATGATTAATAATTTATATTGACTGTCTGCGTGTGCAGTGCATTTGTAAATTTGTATAGTGTATATGCAAACGTTTGTGAGTGACTGATATTTTTTTAACTTTAAGAAAGGTTTCAAAAAGTACCAACAACATTTTTTTCTGTACTAAGATAAGCTTCATAATAGTTCCTACTTTTTCGTCATTACTACTTCCGTTACTATTATTATTTTTCTCATTGTTAATAATGACATTACAGAGTCATAGGAATTGTGAATATATATATTAACATTGGAAAACGAATAACAAATGAAAAAATAATATAAATAATGAGCGAATTAATGAATGAATGACTAAATGGATGAATAAAAGAATGAATGAATGAGTGAATGAACGAACGAATGAATGGATGGATGAATGAATGAATGTTACGTATGCCTGGATTAGACGTATCTTGCTTGGAATTGGTTTTTCAGATGGCATTAGAACGTGACAGGAAACACGCAACATGCATGCATGCATGTTGTCCAAAGAGCAACATGAATAAATACTTTAGATACTTTTAAAGTTTATATAATTTGCTTAATTTTTCAAATAATTAATTATTATTTTTAAATGTAATTATTTTTATTTATTAATTAGTATACTATTTCAATTAATCGTATTTTAAAATGTAAATATTTATACTAAGTTGTTATATTTTTCCATATGTATGTTTTGTTGTTTGCTGATTGCAGTAGGCAATAGCTATTATAAAATTTGATTCATTAAACGAAGGATTTAAATAATTTCATTGGTTAACAAATATGGAAAGAAAGTTTGGTGTGGTGAATACAATTTTCCAAAAGCAATAATTTCCAATTTTAATTTTTCCTTGGATAAAAAACTATGGACGAAAAAATTCCATTGAAGAATGGAGCTCCAGGAATTTTAATTAAGAAGGTTGGTTGTGTTGTATTCAGCGTTGTTAGACATTGACCGTTTAAAAATAGTTTTTACTAAATAAAAAAATTAATTTAAATAATTTTTTTCTGAAAAAGAAAATAAAGTTTTCAAATTGTCCAGACAAATTTTACAAATGTATATTTAAGAATTTCTCTTTTTTGTTCCATACCACGAGTCTGTGATAAAATAAATCAGACGATATTTATTTGCATTAAGCTTATCAGAACCAGAGCAAACTGGTTAAATGGTTTTTCTTTTTTGACTCTAACATGGAGCTTGACTACTTTTGAAGTTTCTTATGTTAAATCTATTTTTTTCATTCCCAGTTTTGTGGAATCTTCTTCAGTGAACTAATGATAAATTTATAATTGTTTTTCTTTTCATGTCACTTATGTTCCTCTCATGATTCATGCAAGGCCGCTCTTCAATCTGTTAACCGACCGATAGTTACCTAAGGGGTATGAGTGGTGATTGCGAAACAACGTGTCATGTGAGGTCAATCTAATTCTAATATGACGGTGTTGCATTATCAAAGTTTATTAATAACATACACGCAGTGCGTAAATTAACGCATTATGAACGTTGTCCGTATAATTGGCGAGGAACCGTTTGAAATCGAACCTGGTTACAGCAAGGCAGAACTGGGCGTTTTTGTTTTTAACCTTACCGGCCAGCGACCTAATCAGCAGTGTCAAAAGAGTCACCCGTCTTTATATCTTTTTAGCACGAAAACAGTAAATAAACATTGGAGAAAAAATTTATCTTTAGGCAAACGTTTTAAGTATGGAAGAGTGCTTGTTGTATGATGAGTGAGACGAATGTCGATGACGTGAATGTTGATGAAGTGAATGTTGATGAAGTGAGTGTTGATGAAGTGAATGTTGATGAAGTGAATGTTGATGAAGTGAATGTTGATGAAGTGAGTGTTGATGAAGTGAATGTTGATGAAGTGAATGTTGATGAAGTGAGTGTTGATGAAGTGAGTGTTGATGAAGTGAATGTTGATGAAGTGAGTGTTGATGAAGTGAATGTTGATGAAGTGAATGTTGATGAAGTGAATGTTGATGAAGTGAGTGTTGATGAAGTGAATGTTGATGAAGTGAATGTTGATGAAGTGAGTGTTGATGAAGTGAATGTTGATGAAGTGAGTGTTGATGAAGTGAATGTTGATGAAGTGAATGTTGATGAAGTGAATGTTGATGAAGTGAGTGTTGATGAAGTGAATGTTGATGAAGTGAATGTTGATGAAGTGAGTGTTGATGAAGTGAATGTTGATGAAGTGAATGTTGATGAAGTGAGTGTTGATGAAGTGAATGTTGATGAAGTGAATGTTGATGAAGTGAGTGTTGATGAAGTGAATGTTGATGAAGTGAATGTTGATGAAGTGAATGTTGATGACGTGAATGTTGATTACATCCATATTAATGACATTTGTAACGTTAATCATGTATCTACGTAGTTATTGTAAGTTGTTGAGATTAATTAATTAGTTAATATTTCTATCATAATTGTAAACCTTGATAAATTTTACTGTTGATGCAAAACTGCTGTTGTTGGGATAGGTTGAAGTTATTATTTTTATGGTTGAGTTACGGAGTTACTGGAGCCATGCATGTTTTTGTGTTTATACGTGTACTGCCTAAATGAAAGAAATAGAAGGAGAGAGATAAAAAAAAGAGAGAGAAAGAGAAAAAAGGAGAGAGAAAGTCATTATTGCAGAGACAGATAAAGAGAGAGAGAGAAACAGAGAGAAACAGAGAAAGAGCGAGAAAAACAAATCAATAAACCAAGCAAGCAGAAGCTGAATGGGTGACTACTGATGTCGTTGCGTCCTCCTTTCTTCTGTTCTTCTTACACTGTGTGCTGCACAAACATTGCGTACAACAAATGTATTACATAAACAATGTAGCGTACAACGTACATCCTATATGAACAATGCGTACAAAAGTAGCGTGCGAAAGACTCACTTATATAAACCTTGTGTACGTTGTTTAGTGTACAACGAATTTCCTAAATAAACAAATGTTACACATAAACATTAATTTTAAACATTGTACGTGGAATTTTGTTCTAATAATTAAAACATTGGTTTGCTTAAACAGACCTAAAAACGTGACACAAAAATTTTGCATTGCGTATGATAGGAGGTTTAAACATAAACAGAAGTTTAGTAAGAAATACCAGGGCTTTGAAGCGGGAGCTGGAGTGCGGAACAATAGGAGCAACGATATTTTAGTTGGAGCGTGAGCGAAGTCGGAGCGAAAAAACTTTGAGTGCTCCATGCTCCAATAACAAAAAAATATTAGATTAAAAAATAAATGAATATTAATTTATTAGATTTAATCTTGAGTCTGTATGATATTTAAAGACTTTATTTTCTTAATTTTTTGTTTATTTCATTTCATCAATTGTACTGTAAAATAAAACAATAAAAAACTTCATTTTATGGTTAATGGTTAATTTTCTCAAAGCCCTGAGAAATACAATTTCACAAAAATGAATGTATAATGAAATTTATACACATTGTGTACACAAGACAGTACATTAACATATTAATACCAAATATTAATACCAAATAATGCAAGACTTTGTACATTGATTGGTGTTTACTGATTTGCCAAAAAAATCACAAAGGCTTGGTAAGTTAGTAATGCAGATGATGATTGATGTAGAATGTTTCTCAAGTCTCGAACTATACTTCACGAACAACGTTTCCATTCAAACGTCATTATCTGATGTTCAGTTCTTGTTTATCTTTTTCATTTTTTCTTGTTTCTGTTATTTTAAATTCTCGAAACTTGTCATCGCGTTTTTTTTTACATTTTTTCACCAATATCACGTGACCAAACCACCATCAACGTTGTCACTATATCACCCTGTATCCATATTATTATTATTATTATTATTATTATTATTATTATTATTATTATTATTATTATTATTATTATTATTATTATTATTATTATTATTACCATTACCACCATCCTCCCGTTCGTCATCATCCTCGTCATCGTCGTCACCATCATCATCCTAGTAATGATACAATCTCATATAAAATTACACCGATAAAATAGAAGCCATAGAAATGAGAATGCAGAACATTTACCTGTACGCTGAATGTGTTGGATTAATTAATATTCATGATGTTGCGACTTGCGATGCATTCCAATTGATTGATATTCATGATGTTTCGAAATGCTATGCAATCCAGTAAATTTTCATCCTACAAATGCATTAGCTATTTAATTAATATTCATAATACTATACACTACAATACAACCATCATCATCATCATCATCCATCACTGGTTTCCTCACGACATCTCTTCAACGGTCTCTATTCCGGGTCAGTTCTTCAAGTGTCAATGGGGATCTTCCCCTCGTAACTACATATTTGGAACGTCCTGCTGGTTGTAGATCTTCTTTTAAAATTTGATCAGTCGATCCATCTTCGTGGTGGTCTTCGTCTCGGCTTTTGGGATTTATACATCATGGCTTCCCTGGTGGGTCTATTTAAATTCATTCGCAACAGGTGTCCTGCTCTTTTCGTTCTACGCATTCAAATCACCTCGGTTATGTACGGCGGACCCGTTCTACGTCTAATCTCCTCATTTGGAGTATGGTCCTGATAGCTGATTTTCATGATTCTTCGCAGCCATCCGTTTCTAGCTGCATTTAATTTAATTCAGTTTAATCTCCATAGTATGTGTTAAACTCCACAATTCCGCGTGATGTAACGAAATCTCTCACCTTCAGCTTTAGGCCGATATCGATCATTTAAAAATCTTTTCAAGCAGCCTTTTGAGCGCAGTCACTTCTTAGGTAGACGAAATTGTTGACTACCTCTATTAAATCCTTGTCAATTTCAAACTTTGGCTACTGTCTAAATTTTTGGTAACCCCCGTGTTCTTTGTTTTTTTAAATTTACTCTTAGCCCAAGATTCTAAATCCTAACAGCATGAGGGGGAAAATGTCACCCAACCATTACGAACTCGTTTTATCTTTAGTAGTATATAATCCAAAATAAAATGAATAATAATATTAGTTTTGTCTAGATAAAATTATTTAATGTTTTTTTTAGTCTATTTTGTCCATTTAAATAATTGTATGATGTGTACAAATGTTTATTCATCATTTAACACAACCCGAGTTGTTGAAAATAAAGATGTCTACAATTTTTAAATAAATAAATTAGAAACAAATGATTTTATTCAAGTCTTTTTTCTTCCATCAACTATGGAGGTTTCATTATTGAAAATTTGGAATAACTCTAAAAATTATTTTCTGCTATTTCGTTTGCCTCTTGTCAGCTGGTGAAAATTTCAATTTCAGGTTCACCAGTGTTCGTGTTCACCAGTTTTAATCTTTTATCACCAGACAGCCAAATATTGACAACATGATATCATTCTATCACCATCAGTTCTTTAACTTCTTTCAGGCTATTATTCTGACTGTCTGTTTATTTGTTTGTTTATCTTTTCATTTGTTTGTTTATTCATGTTTGCCATTTCATATTTTAATTTAAATTGTTTATTTATTTATTTATTATTTGATGATTTTTCTATTAGTTTACACGTATGCCGCCGATCTAAAGCACTGCTCAGTTGATCAAAACCAACTGATGATAATTATTTTGTTTCGCTTTTATTTTATTTTTATTACCGAATTATTACCAAAAAAAATAATGGTGTTAGAAAACAATATTATCATCAACCCTTTAAACAAAACTGAGCCCGACAAACAAGAAGAAACCATATCATTGAAATGAAATATGAGAATGATAACAATAACAAAAGCAATATCTGGCCTACGTATTTGGGCGCAATAAAAACATTAAAACTAACAAAACAACAACAACATTAGTATTAATAATAACAACAACACTAACAATAACTCACTGACTACAACAAAATTCATCATCGTTCATCTTTATTATTTAACTTCATGTGCACTCATCCTGAGATGATCGATACAAGGTTGAATAATTCAACATTCATTTGGAGACCGTCCAAAAACGGATGGATATATAACAAGTTGTTTCATTCTCTACCTACTCTTTGTTGTTGTTATAATAACTTAATATCTTCCAATAATTGTTATTATAGATCCAGTTTCTTGTCTATTTTTCAACGATTTATTTATGACTATATATTTAGCGCTTGTTTATTATTGTTGCTAATTATTTAATATTTCAAATAATTTGTCTCAAAGTTTAAAATGTCGATAATTGTTACTAAATGTAAAAACTTGTACGAGCAGAGAAAATTGAGAAAAAAGGTTCGACTAACTGCATGTCGTTCATTTAAATAAATGAATAACGATCGTATACTTAAAATAGATTCAAAATTATTTGCAGGCTAAAAATCATTATTTGGTGTTAAAAGTGTTGAAGGAGCTATCGGGAACCTCGACAGCCTACCATGACGATTACGATGTATTTCGGAGGCCGACTCAAGTTAGTTCAATATGTTCCATTCATCATTATTGAGCGTGGTGAACAAAATACGTGCACAAGTGGCTTGATGAAAAATGTGTGCTCGATGAGTTAGCTCAGACGGTAGGAGTGCCCTTGTCTCGTGTGTTGTTGCCCGCCGACCTGGTTCAAATGCTGCCTTTCTTATACAATAAAACAATCATCGCTTTGTGCGTGCGTGTGTGTATGTTTGTGTGTGTGTGTGGTGTGTTTGTGTGTGTGTATGTTTGTGTGTGTGTGTGGCGTGTTTGTGTGTGTGTATGTTTGTGTGTGTGTATGTTTGTGTGTGTGTGGTGTGTGTGGTGTGTTTGTGTGTGTGTGGATCGATGCTTTCGTGTACATGCAATAAATGGGTACAACGTCGTTTGGTGTGCCTGCTGCAGCCTTTGGTGAACAAAAATGTTTCCACAACGATTTAAGTACCGGCAAGTTGTTAAGCAACTTCGCGTCTATTTGACCTGATTGATAAAGAACGATTATAAACTCGGTGACTCCCGTTGGCTCCGTGCTACTAAAATTTTATGTCTATTTGCTTATAAAAAGTATGAATGACCTTAAGATATATGTTGGTGTCAGTGCTGATTTGTGTTCTAAAGCTGCTTGTTTTATATGTTGAGCTTCACAGTGAGTGCGAACATTGCGAGTCTGAAAAATTTTTTTTCACCTAAACTTTATTTTTTTAAATAACAAAAGATATCGATTGAGAATTACGACGATGACAAGGAATCATTTGAAAAGGTGCAGTTCACATCCATCAACAGTAACAAATCACCCAGCCCTCAGAAAGAAATTCACAAAAAGAATGGAAAACTTCCGAAATTCATCATCCTCCACTACTCGCCTTTCAAAACCGGTTGGGACTGGTTGACGCTCATCTTGGTCCTCTATACAGCTGTTTTTACGCCGTTCATGGCAGCTTTTACCGTCAAGCTGGGAGGCAAAACCTCTATTCATCCGTCCTACTATCCATCCAACCACATCATCATCAACAGCAGCAGCAACAGCAGCAGCAACAGCATCGTCTCGTACCAGTATTACGCGCCATCATCTAGTGATAAAAATAATTCGTCCAATTTGATAAATTTTACATTCTCATTCGAGGATGCGGCGAAGACAGGCGAGTCAACAGCCTGGATCGACTTCCTGAACGTCGTGGAAGTCTTCGTCGACATCATGTTCGTCGCTGACATCCTCATCAACTTCAGGTCGGCTTCCCTATTTTTTTCATTTCCACGGATTTATTTTTACAATGCTACTATAATATGTATATATATATATTTGTTTGTTTAATTATTTATTTTACATTTTCATATAAATGAACAGTAATCTTTTTATCGCATTAGCAACTAATATAGGTGTCACCAATGGCTCCGACACAACAATGCCAAATTGAAGATTCTTGTATTGAAGATTTATAAGCGCATCTATTGAGTTATTTTCATAGTTAATTAATGGCAACAATAATGTATACATAAATATTCATTTATCATTACAAATATATTATTATTTAAGCTTTTCGTATTGATGATAAATTGATGACTCAGACCCCGGCCTCTTAAAAGATTCAGACTTCGGCAAAATCCTTCGACTCCAACCGACTACAACACTCTGGCACCGGTTTTAAGGGGTTCTACTGAAATGATAAAAACCAAAAAATATCAGATAATCTCTAGAGTAAGGACAGAACTAGCCGTTTGAAAAAAATAAAATCAGAATGTATAATAATTCAAGAGTAAACTGTTTCTGACCTTTAAGAAAAATTGAAGAAAATGTAGCGGCTAATTTTACTTAAAATTTGAAATTAGAGAATTAATAAGATAATCTGAAAAAATCATTGCATGCTGCCGTGGCTTTTAAAAATCTGATAGTTTCTTAATAATAATAATAATAATAATAATAATAATAATAATAATACCAAAGGACAACATACGTTGACGACGGGGAAGTGATAGTCAACCCACGCAAAATTGCCATAAATTACATGAAGGGCTGGTTCATTATCGACGCCGTTGCCGCCGTCCCTTTTGATTGGATGCTCTACGGAAACGGAAGTAGTGACGTCAGTCTTTTATTGTTTTTTTTTACTTGTGTTTTTTGTTATTATGTGTTTTATCATTTTTGTTCTTTTTATGGTTTTCATTATTATCGTTGTTATATGGTTAAATTATAAGCTAAGTTACTGATTTTTTATTGATACAATTGCATTTGCATGACAAAATATATATATGTTAAGAGTACATCATACAAGTTATTAAACAATGATGAATTATGTATAAATTAGCTATTGCATCGATATTTCTTCTAACGAGGTAATACCTCATTCATCTTATTCATCCTCAACATGCTGATCCAATATGGGCAACCAACAACAGTTTGTTAGTATATTATCTTTTTCATTTCTTTTTCATTATTTTTATTAAATTTATACTGAAAACTATTTTATAAAACCAAAATTTAATAATTAGAATGGTACAAGCAAAGTTGTTTTATCACTATTCATCACATACAACTTTGATAACTCTCATGCCTAGAATTCCAAACAATATTTCAATCTTATCTTAAAAACAATTTTAATAAATCATTTAATTTTACATAATATACAAAATTCAATTTTAATGGAAATAACTTTCAAATGAAAACGGGCGCACACCTACACATACGCAAACACGCACACACACACACGCACACACACACACAAACGACTCACACAGGCTCTAACACAAGGGCTGACGGGCATATTGAAAACGGCGAGATTGTTGAGGTTGTTGCGTGTGGCTCGAAGGATCGACCAGTATTCGGAGTATGGGGCGGCCGTCCTCATACTTCTCATGGCCACCTTTACCCTCATTGCTCATTGGCTTGCCTGCATCTTTTACGCCCTTACCACGTTCGAAAGGGCAAATTTTTTAAATGTAACTTCTTTTCAAAATTTTCGTTGTTATAATTTATAATTGAAAAATGTTTCGTTTTTTGTAAAATGATAATTAATCGTAACCTGCAACCGTCTTACTTTACAACCACATGCACGCAGGCACCAATAAGCTGGTTGGACTCGCTAGCCAAGCAGCACGGCATCACCTACCACATCAACGGCTCAGAGCCAGACACGAAGTCTCGCTACATAACAGCTCTCTACTTCACCTTCACCATTCTAACCAGTGTCGGGTTTGGAAACGTCGCTCCAGTCACCAATTATGAAAAAGTCTTCACGATCTTCGTCATGCTACTTGGGTGTCGGTTGAGATTTAATGACTCGATGTATTTTAATATGGCTATTTTTTAGATCATTTTTATTTCAAAAGCTTTTCAAAAAATTGGCACCACAACTTTAACAACGTTTTTTCGTTAATCATAACTTTTACATTTATTATGATATTTCGTGCAATAAAACAACTAAATTTCAGCAACCATATCGTACAACGAACACTGAAAGCACAATCTCATGAAAAAACGCGATGAATGAATAAATAAATGAATGAATGAGTGAGTGCGTGAGTGAGTGAGTAAGTGAGTGAGTGAGTGGGTGAGTGAGTGAGTGAGTGAGTGAGCGAGCGAGTGAGTGAATGAGTGAATGAGTGAGTGAGTGAATGAGTGAGTGAGTGAGTGAGTGAGTGAGTGAGTGAGTGAGTGAGTGAGTGAGTGAGTGAGTGAGTGAGTGAGTGAGTGAGTGAGTGAGTGAGTGAGTGAGTGAGTGAGTGAGTGAGTGAGTGAGTGAACGAACGAACGAACGAACAAACGAATGAATGAATGAAAAATTAATCTCAACCAATCAACTAACACACAAATGCAGCTCTGATGAGTGCAGCCATATTCGGCAACGTCTCCTCTATAATGTTGAGACTGTACAGAGGAACTGAGGAGTACCATGAGATGTTGGCGAGCATCAAGGAGTTCATCAAATTCCATTACTTCCCGAAACCACTGGCCGACAGACTTCTGGAATCCTACCAGAACACACGCTCCTTCACGAATGGTGTAGATATGAATTGTGTTAGTGAGCTATTGCTAATTTTGTAAATTATATGTTGCTGTTTAGTTGTAGTGTCTGTTATTGGAAGTTGGTACTTGACAGTTTTAGTTGTTCCTTGATTTTAGCTTTATAAATTCATTCCACGTCATTTATTCAGAAAGATATGCCGATAGCATTAGAGGATACTGGTCATTGCACATTTAAATTTGAAATTAATTTATTTAAAAAATCAAATTTTTAAAGGTTTTAAAGAGTTTCCCCGATTGCCTACAAGCCGATATATGTCTGCATCTCAACAGAAACTTGCTGGACAACTCAACCTCATTCAGAGGCGCGAGTCCAGGTTCTTCAAATAAGACGAAGCTTCATATATAAACTAATATAATGTTTTTAATTTCACAAAAGATTGAATGAATATAAATCAACATCGCAAATAAAATAATTTAAACAAGGCTGCTTACGTGCTCTGTCACTCAAATTGAAAAGTCTTCACGCGCCACCTGGCGACACATTGATCCATCCGGGTGACGTTCTTGACTCCGTCTACTTCATAACGAGAGGGACTATTGAGATCCTGAAAGAGGATATTGTTGTTGCCATTATAGGTGGATTTGTAATTATAAAATTATTTTTAATTTTTTTTTTCTGCTCCTCAAACATTTGCAGAGTAGCTCACATATTTTTACTTGTTAAAGTTATACGTTATATTTTCATACAGCACGAGACACATTTAGTTTGTATGTAGGCGCAACGCGTCTAACGCGACAAGGTTGATTTTCTTCAAGCTTCGTTCCTCTGAATTCAAACTATTGCACACATTATCATTGTCGATTGCATTCATTAGCTCAATAAGTTTTTATTAATTTATTATTTTTATTTAGGTTAAAACATTTCAGTTTAATTATATAACCATAAAAAATTAACGAGCATCAAGTGCGACGATGTTATTGTTTTCAACGCTAATCTATATCTTTAATTGATCTTAAAATAATTTTATCGTGTCTTTATTTATTTAATAATATTAGTAGCAATACTTGATAGCAGTAGTTATGATAACATATCATTGATACCTAATAATAGTAGCATCGTTCGTTGAACAAGCAGGTAAGGACGACATCTTCGGTGAGAACGTGAAAGAGAAGTTTTTCATGAGTACGAAGAAGGCGGTGAACAAGTCAGCGTACGTCGTGCGGGCGATGTCATACGCAGATATGCACAAAATATTTCTCGACGACCTCTACGCCATCATGCTATCCTATCCTGATTTCGCGTCCATTTTTCTTCAGAATTTCAACGTCACTTTTGACATTAAACAGGTCGGTTGAAATTAAAATAGGCAATTTGTTATTGTTATGATTGTTAAATAAATTTATCGTTGATGAATGATAAAAAATTTATGTTTCATTTAAACATTCGTGCCAATTATTGGACAGGACTTAAAGACAGCACCGTGTAAAGACGAAGAAATGCTGAAGTTCATTGAAGCGAGGAGAAGAAAATCATTCTCCTTCTGTAGAAATCAATTAGACCAACTTTCTAACGAAGGTCAGAACTTATCTAATACACAACAACAGCTCCGTTAAATTCGGAAAACATTTTTAACATTAAATTCTACTATATTTAACCTAAATAAAGCCAAATTTTTAAAACTTTTTCGATATTAAATTAAATTATATTTAATCTAAATAGAGCTGAGAAGTTCGAGTTGCAAAGCCGATAAGATATTCCCTCCAGAAAATAGCTTCATCCCAGTTAGTTCAGCGCTACAAAATGCTTCACCAAGTTCACCCTCCTATTTTCCAAAGTCCAGCGCATCCACTCCTGGAATGTTTTCATCGGGCTCCCTTCCACACGCTAATGACGTCATTCCAGAAACATCTGGCGACCAGTTTTATGAAAAATCCTTGTTCCTAAAAGTTGTTAACTACAGGTTGAAAGCCATCCTCAGGTTAGCCAAGTTTAGTTTAGAAATTTCATTAATGGATACATTAGTTTTCATTAATTTTAATTTTTTTTTATATTTATAACCCTTCTAAGTTTTTTTATTCGAAAAGAAGTCTCTCCAAGATTAAGGGCTTATCATCTCTTGACCATTTTATATTTTATCATTAATTTATCAGCAAAATATGACAATTTCTCCTTTTCTGTGATGACTTAGGTACCTATATCAACAACAAATGTTCGCTTTTTTTCGATAGTTGGTCGAAATTTATTTAAATATAAATTAAATACAAGTGCTATAGTGTCAGCACTAATTTTGATCACATTAACATTTCTATGGCGTTTATTAAAAAATTCAAATCGAAAGTTTCATTGTTGATGGTAATAATAATAGGCATTTCTTCTATGGTCACCGAAGAAGGAAAGAAGAAATTTAACATTCATGCTATGCACTGTACAGAATGAAATGGGAAAGTGCAATTCCTAATTAGCTTGTTGATAACCATTGGATCACCATTTTTTGAATTCCTCCATCGAGTCAAGTTGCGGCATGATATTCTTTATCATATCACGAGCCGAGCCGAGCCGAATTGAAACAAATTTATTTTGTAAGCTTGGGCTCAACAATTTGAAAAGTAGACAGACAGAAAATTAAATTTTTAATTTTTAAAAAGTTGCTTTTATTTTAATTTAATTAGTCAAATTTTTTATTAATTATTTTAAATTTAAATTGAGTTAAATCTACGCGTAAATACAATTATGTACACAAACATACACACTTTCTTACTAGCATACAAAAATTGTACAGAGAAAATGTGTGTTCTTAATAGTCGATTTTATCAAATATGACTTGTTATACATTTAAACATATAAAGTCAAACTTCTAAACTGTAAATTTGTAAATTTTCAGTCGAATGTTGAAATTTGAGAACGAGTTATGCATGACTGTTGATGAGATCATGCGCGCACTTGGGCACAGTCCTGAAGACCAACAACACATTAGTTTTTCATAATACTTTATCTACCTACACTACAGATTATTTATTTCATTTTCAATATGTCGATAAAACTACTTCTATATTATTTATTTCTTAATTTTACTATCAATTTCTTTTTTAAAATCGTTGTTAACATTTCTTAACATTTTTACGCATTTTTTTCATTTGACTTTTTTAATAAATTTAAATTTTATATATATATATTTACTCGTATCCTTAAAGTGTCCATATTCTCAGTTATTTGTTTGAATTTTAATATGTGTTAATGTTAATATTATAACTTAATTCTATAATCGGAACAAATACACAAACTAAAAAAATTCTTATTAAATTATTTTATTAATTATTCAACAATTTTTTCATAATTTTTCAACATTTTTACTCAGTATTGAATCTTTGTTCTTTCCAACATTTTTTCAAGAAATTACTTTCAATTTCATCAATGTATTTTTTCCTCATTGTTGAAAAAATTCAATAAACACTTGCAAAAAATATTTAAAAATGCCTTTGTTTCCGGAGTCGAACGCAGTTATATTTTAATTTTTATCAAAAATGGTACTTTTGTACGATTGTATACAAGAAGAAACATTATTGTCTAATAGTCCTTGCCATAGACAAATAGACCTAGACCTAGACCAAGACTTTTCTGGTTGCACAGCGAGCAGGACGCAGTTTTTAAACTTTTTACTAAAGTTTACTTTTAAATTTTTTTAATAAATTTGTTAAAAGTAAATTTAATTATACGAAGGAAAATCGAATTTAATTTTATCAAAAAAAATGTTTCGTCCGACAAATGTGAATGTTTTATTTATTAGGTGGCTGACTGATTGGAAGAATGAAGCCGCCGATAGGGATGTCAAAATCCGATTTACTTATGCTAAGGTCTGGACTCCATTGAGTCGTTCTCTTGAGTCTTGCTTGATGGATGCTGTAGTGTGTAGTTGTAGTAGAGTATTAGATGTAATGGTAGAGTTCTAGAGTAGCAATAAAAGTAGACAGACAGAAAATTAAATTTTTAATTTTTAAAAAGTTGCTTTTATTTTAATTTAATTAGTCAAATTTTTTATTAATTATTTTAAATTGAAAATTTAGAAGTTTAGTTTTATAATTAATTTTTAAAATTAACAAATAATTGGTGAGAGGTAGTATTAATGTTGAATTAGTAAATTTACTAAATTAATAACTGATCATTGATATTAAGACAGATAACATGAACTTGATCATGATGGGCTTTTATTTCATGTTGTTAATTATTTAACTTTAACAGTTAATTTGATAACTTTTAATTTAATACTAATTAGTTAATTAATCTGATTTGCAGTCATCAATATCTGCAAATAATAATTAATACAGATTTTATCTATGTCAGTCCACCAATATCATTCAAATACAACAAAAATATTTGTATTGTATTAAATTTGTTAATAATTACTTTTAAATTCGTTATATTACAATAATAATTATCTGTTATATTGTTATATATAATTTACACTAGGCTCTTAGAAGTATTAAAAAGTATCCCTTAACTTTGAAATCTGGATTGGAATGCAAAATTCTTGAAGGATTTGGTTAGTATCTGATAGGCCTCTTTATTCTGTAACATTTTCTAGTTAAATTATTATGATTTGAGATGAATTTTGGTCACTTGTAAATATTAAGCATTTCATCTTTTTGTACAAATTAATTTTTTAATTTGCTAGGTGATAAAATATGCAGTCAGATAGATGAGAAACTCAATTCAGAGTTTGCAAAATCAAGTGAAATGAATCTTTTATTTTTTTTTAAATATCCAATTTCCTGTCTATGCATTGATCTCATTAATTGAATTTTCACTCACTTTATTTTATGTATTTATTATTTTATACAATGTTTAAGGCTTTCAGTCAGTCGAAGATTTTATTAAAAGTTTTGACAAGCCAAAAGTTAATATGCACAACAGTAATGGAAGAAACATTTCCAAGGTCTGTTAGATTAATTGTGTTAATTATTCAACATTTATTATGTTAATTATTCTACACTAATTACGTTAATTATTTTGCAATAATTATGTTAATTATTCTGCATTAATTAGGTTAATTATTTTACATCAATTATAATTCTATCCTCTTGAAATATTTTAATTAATTCATTGATTTATTTATTTATTTGTTATAATTAAATAAAAATTTAATTGTATTAAAAGATCAAAAAAAATTTATTCAGCAGCCTAGCGCATCAAAGAGAGGTGATGATCAATGCATTGCAATTGGGCAGAACGAATACAATAATCACACTATCACTAACATACGGGATGCTGATGATGATGGTGATGGTTGTGATAATAATGATAATATTATTTGTATTGATGACGAGGCTGATGATGATATTTATTGCAATGAATCTGGGGAAATGTCAAAAAATCATCAGTTCACTGGTTTATTAGAGAAAGAACTAGATAATTGTGTGTCAGCATTTAAAGAGTCATCGTCAACAAAACCTCCAACACTTGCATCATTTATAACTTCATCTTGTTCAACAACAATCCCGACGGCCACAACAACAAATCCATCAACAAGTTCTACTGTGCTATCAACATCTTCAGATACATTCAGGTTAGCCTTTCTATCTATGATTTTTAAAGAATAATAAAATATCTTTCTTTCTATGATTTTTATAAAATAATTAAAAAAAAAATCTGTTTTATTTAATTAAGTTTAATACCTTAAACATTATTCTTTTCAATATATTTTTTGTAAAGGTTTATGTATGTAATGGATGATGGGAAAGAGACTTGTAAGAAAGATCAAGCTGTCATAGATATTGATGGTCAGTTAGTAGTAGCCAGTTCTAATGTGAGGAATATGCTAATGATGTTGTGAATATGTTAATGATCTGATGAATATGAATATGGAATATGTTAATGATCTGATGAATATGTCAATAATGGGATGAATGTGTTTATAAGGTGATGGATATGTTAATAATGCTATGAATATTTTAGTACGATGAATATGTTAATGATGTGATGAATGTGCAGATGTACTTTGGATATGCGAGTGTGGTTAATATGAATATGCAAATAAAATGGATGTGCAAGTTTGCTTAATAAAGAAATGCATAAATTGTTGTTATAGTTTTATCTTTAGTTTCTCTTTGTCTATTTGTTTATATTCGTAAGTATTTAGTGCTGTCAGTCAGGGAATGATCATTACCATTATTTTCATCACTGTCATCTCGTTATCATCAAATTATCATCTTGTTATCATCATGTTATCATCATGGTATCATCATGGTATCACAATGTTATCATCATAGTATTATCATGGTATCACAATGTTATCATCATGGTATTATCATGGTATCACAATGTCATCATCATGTTGTCATCATCGTATCATCATGGTATCACAATGTCATCATCATGGTATCACAATGTCATCATCATGGTATCACAATGTCATCATCATGTAATCGTCATGTTATCATCATGGTATCATCATGGTATCACAATGTCATCATCACGTTATCATCATGGTATCACAATGTTATCATCACGTTATTATCATGGTATCATCATGGTATCACAATGTTATCATCATGTCATCATCATGGTATCATCTTGATGATGAAGTACAGATGGAACTTCAGTTGTGAAGTTCTTGATAAAGTGCAAGTACACAGACCTCTTGCTCTCCGGAAAGGAATACTCACTTGACTATACGAGGTCAGGTGTGATGATGATGATGATCGTGATAATTGTGATGATGATGATGTGATGATGATGATAATGATGTTGAGAATGGTGACGACGACGATCATGATAACGATGGTAGAGATTTCAGTGATACTGATGACGACCGTCTGTTTTGTTCTATAATTAGAGAACCAATGATACTAGCTACAACAACGTTGAATTACTGAATGATCCAGCAGCAACTGCATTGAAATACTAAATAATCCAAAACTCTACAGGAGTTGTGATGACATTGAATACATTTACGCCTACCTGAATGATGAACATGCACCCGACTATTCTATTAACAATTGTAAGTTGTATGGTACTTGTATGCATGTGTGCGTGTGTATGTGTGTGTGCTCGTATGTGTGTGTGTATTGTGTGTGTGTTCGTGTGTGTGTGTGTATTTATTGTAGAATTAACTATCTTTATTTTTTTCTAATGACAGCTCAATTGGTGCCTATTTCATCTACACCAACAACATTAGCTGCATCGTCAACAACAACAACAATGCCATCATCGTTAACATCAACCAGTTGTAACAACAATATGGACAGCTTGTTTCAAAGGCCTATTGTATCAGATTGTACTTTCACAGCGACGACACTGACGGCATCGACATTCAGAAGATCCAAACTCAAATCTGCTCACTACCGTCCAACGTCACCAACAACATCATCGGCAACTGCATCTATGACGTCATCAACGACATTAACGCCATCGGCAAATTCAAACGAGAATAAAAAGTTCAACAAGACGAAATCTGAAAATTTAGATAGTAAGCATAAAAAACTGAAACATGACTTTTTAAAGTGCAATGAATTCAATCAACCAATGCAACAACGACAGCAACACGTCACACTAACGCCACTACATCGACAACACTCTGCGACATTAACAGACGACATCATCAACGACAACATTAACAACAGCAACAATGACAACAAAACCAACATCCTGATATCTTCATCTACAGCTGACGTCACATTCTCTTCTGGTTCATTTGATGTGCTGCTCTGCGTTGATTGCAGAGAGTCTATGTTAGTTTCTGGAGATCACGCACACGCGCGCATGCACACACACACTCACATCATTTTGTCACACACGCACGCAGACAAACACACACACAAACTCTTTTTCTCTCTCTCACACTCTCACACACAAACTCTCTTTCTTTCTTTCTCTCTTTTTCTCTCTCTCTCCCTCTCGCTCTCTTTCTTTCACACACACACAAACTCTCTTTCTTTCTCTCTCTCTCTCTCTCTTTCGCTCTTTCTCTCTCTCTCTCTCTCTCTCGCTCTCTCTCTCTCTCTCTCTCTCTCTCTCTCTCTCTCTCTCTCTCTCTCTCTCTGTCTCTGTCACTCACACATACATAAACACGCACGCAACAGGGGTCCAGCGTCACTGGCTGATGATGTGCTGATGAAAGAACTGATAAAGAACAACGTTCAACATGATGTGAGGCAACTTCATCTTGGAGATTTCCTGTGGGTGGCCAGGTGTCGCGGTTGGTGGTGGCGGTGCTCCTGCTACTGTTTTTTGGTGATGATAAAGATGATGATGGCGAAGATGATGACGGCGAAAATGATGATTAAGATGATGATGGTGAAAATAATAATGGGGAAGATGATGATGGCGAAGATTATGACGGTGAAGATGATGATGGCGAAAATGATGAAGATGATGATGGTGAATACTATCTGTAATTTAGTGATGATGAAAATGAGGATGATGGTGATTATTAGTTGTTTAGTGATGATGTGAATGATGGTGATGTTGATGTTGGTGATAGTAATGAGGATGGTGATGATTATGATTTTATTAGTTTGGTGATAGCATTGATGATGGTTTTTATGAGTAGTATCGTGACAATGACAAATAAAAGCAATCTGATTAAGTTTTTTTTTAATAAAAAGATATAAAATTTTTGTTCTGTATGGGTGCTTTTTTATGTAAGTGAGTGAGTGAATGAATGAATGAATAAATAAATGGATGAATGAATAAATGGATATAGAAATGAATGAATGATTTTAAGATAGTGGAATGGAGCTGGTTTTGGATTGGATAGTTGAGAGGAAGAGGATGGATGACCTGGGTGGCAGCATTATTGATGGAAGATTCAGGGAGCAGAAAGTAGGTGCCAGTTTTTTATTGGTGATCGATTTGGTTTGTTGCTGATTTTGATTGGTTGGTTGATTTTGGTTGTGGCTGATTCTGATTAGTTGGTTGGTTTTTATTGTGGCTCATTTTGATTGGTTGTTTGTCATTGATCGTGGGTAATTTTTATTGGTTGGTTGATTTCGGTTGTGTCTTATTTTGATTGGTTAATTGTTTTTAGATGATTAGTTTTATTTTATTGATCGTTTACGATTGGTCAATAATGGCTGATCTGTTTTTTTTTGTTACATATTTTAGTCGATTGAGAGTTTTAGCTAGCCATTAGTAAATATTTTTCAATTGCTAGTTTAGCTGCTTGCATTATATCAATTATAATTTGACCACTTAGTAATTTTTTGTTCATTCGTTTTGACCACCGAAATTTCTCTCATAAATATCTGATAACTTATCCAACGTTTTGACCAGTTTCGTCTGTCGAATTGCGGATTGAAGCACGTCATATACTTGATTGAGGAACAGGGCAAACAGCACAGCAGCCTTCCTGAAGCAACACTCAACCAGGCCATCATTAATACGCAGGTCCCTATGCAGTTATTTCTCTTGTCCTAAAAGTTGTTCATTATTCAAAAGTTCAAATTTCTCTGGACGTTGTTTTGTTTGTTTTTTGATTAATTGTTTTTTCAACTATATGTTTATTTATTTCGTTAAAACGATTTATTTATCTAGCTTATTTTGAATTAAAGTTGTCAAAATATTCAAATCGTATTGAATGTTACATTCACTTTTTTGTTTAATGTGTTAAATTATCCTTTTCGGTTATTTTAAATTAAACTTATTATAACTCATTAACGATGATAAATGTAACTTTTTAAGGTAGTTGATGAATTTTTCGTGAAGAGGGTGAAGCACGCCAGAGAGTCAGCCACGTATCTGACGCTGGTCACGAGATATCTACAATCTCTATACTCTGTTAGTGGCTCTTGAACAGTTTTTAGAGGAATGATGAATTTGTTTAGCGGCTAGATGGCGAAATGGTTAAAAGCGCCGGTCCTTGCGTGCAGTTTTGACTGTGTTCGAATACAAAGACATCTCAGCATATTATAGGTAAAACGTTTCTATACGTATTAACGCGCACATGTGTGTATGCTGTTGATACCTCTTGCTGAAGTTGTTGTAACTAGACTTAACTACTTTCATAAAAAAAGCTTTAATTTATGCTTTACTGAATTATTTCCACTGTACCGATTTTTTTTATATAGTTAGAAATTTTAAAATTGTTGTTGATTAAAGTCCACGTATTTGAATAATATTTGAAATTTGTCATTCGATGTTCCGTAAAACAGACGAACAAACTTTATGGCTTCAACCAGTTCTTTAAGGTCGAGCAGACTTGCACATCACCATCAGTATTGTCGTCGTCATCATCAATCTCTCCACCTAACTTTTTCCTCATGACTTACAGTGCTTTCAGTGAACAGTCAAAAAAATCCAAGGTGTCCTTTTGTTTCTTCGTTTTAAAATTGTCCTAGGTTGCCTATTTTTTCAGCAACATGTATTACTGTCCATTAGTATGGCACCTATGTGTAAGTGGTTTGCTTATGAAATGTTGTCATCAACCCTTGAAGCTTGGTACAGCACGCTAATCAAATGACATATTATTATCATCATTATTTTTTATAATCTAATTAATTACCATTGTTTTATATTATGATTGTTGTTATGCAGTGCCTGACTGTTGGTAGAACATTCCTGAAACAACTGACGCAAATAAATGGGTTAACTACTGAGAAAGCAATATCTGTTATCAACATGCATCCAACGCCACTCAGGTCTGTTGCTGTTCATCATCCGTTCATGTCTCCAGCACTTCACCTTACATTTCACTGTTGCTTGTTTTTCATTATGTCGTGTTGTGTGTGTTTAGAAGTTGTGTTGTGTTGTGTGTGTTCAGAAGTTGGTTTTTATTAAGGTTTGTAATCGCTATGAGATAACTCTTGTTCGGCTTTGTTATGTATCTTGAATGATTAATCCGTAATTAGTGTACAATATTTTGTATACATAATTAAGTGAATAAGAAATAGTGCACAATATAATAGTCGTAGTTTTTTACTTAATTGAATTCCTAGTTTATTCAATGCCTACGACGCCTGCCCTGATGATGCAAGTCGTCTGGAGATGTTAACAAACCTCAAATGTGGACCTAGTAGAAGGTCTTATTTATTTTTGTCGAATATGCATTTTTAAATTTTTATTGAATTTAAATTTTTTTTTATTTCCTTTTCAGAAATTTCGGCTCGTCTCTCAGCAGGAGTGTGGCTCTCATGTTTTACTTGCAGCCACATTTACAGAATTAATTGTACCTGTCGATCTACAGTGTTTGCACTTTTTAGAATCTAGAAAATAATATTTTTATATTTGTTTTTCCATTTGTTGATCATTTTTTATTCAGTTTTAAATACAAATCACTGACTTTGATAGTGTTCTTCTTGATTAAATCGGTTTTTAACGTCTCAGCTATGTCACGAGATTTTAGTAATACAATATCGTCCAAAAGGGCTGTGTAGTTGAAGTTAAAGTATCTGATGGCTGGGTTCATTATAATTTTAGTGCCAGCTTGAATGCGGATAATGTCTTTATTGAAGTTCTCGTTCCTCCCGACAAAAAACTAATGGATTGATAGAATAATTGACTGATTAAAAGAATGAAAATCGCCATCAAAAACACACCAGACGCAATGGGTTACAGTTAGAATCCTCCACTCATTCAAAACACTACCCTCACAAGTACGTAGGAAACCCCCTCGATTGAATACACCTACAACAGGGCGTGCCAAGGCCTGGCAGACGGTACTTTCGGGTCGCCATTTATGACCTATGAATTATGTCAAATGCATCCTTCATAGCTTTCAGAGCTTCTGTAAGCTCCCTTAAAGTGATGTCTTGGCAGTGGTAGTGGTGGTAGCATTTGTAGCTGGAAGTTTCTGCAGCAGCTGATGATGGTGATGATGAAATGATGAAGTCTTCTATCTCATTGAAACTGATTCTAGCTATTTTACCTTTTATGTTTGTATTCATTGGAGGTTCACTTTTCTTATTAACTGTTTGCTTGTATGACAACTTGTATGTGTAAAGTGTAATGTAAATGGCGTTGTCCCAAAAAACGTAATTATAATTACCGAACTTCTTTTTATCTTATCTTATATCTTTAATCAAGAGAAGAAATATTTACATTAAAAAATATATAATTCAACGACTCAACGTAGGTGAATTCATGAATTCATGAAGCCCAAGCAGAATTCATGAATAAATAAAATAAAATAAAATAATAAGTTCTTCAAATTCAAATTACCTAAAAAAGTTTGGCTTACTGTTTAAAAGTCAGTTTTATTATTAAACTAATTAGTTAACTAATTATTCACTATTTAAATTATAAATTAGTATTTATTATTTAGACTTCAGGATGTTCACTCTGATGACAGGTTTTTACAAATACATGTTCAAAAAGGATGAATATTTTGTTCTCATTCTTGGGTTGGATAATGCTGGAAAAACTGTTAGTACTTATGTGGGGTTGTTTTTAATAGTATAATACTATATTGTCAATTATATATATATATATTTATATATACATGTATTTTATAACGACATATATGTATCTTTGACATGTTGCTACAAATATTTATTATTAAATAATAGGTTATTTATAGATCTGATGCACTGCATGTAACAATTATTTTTATTACTTATTATTATTAATTATATTTTAATAAATTTGAATTTAATTTCAATTCGCAGACATTCCTTGAGCAAACGAAAACCAAATTCAACAGAAACTATAAAGGGATTAATTTGAAAAAGATAACATCAACCGTTGGCTTGAACAGTCAGTGCTGTTGTTATTTCATTCTTCTCATTGCTTTGTTTATTCATTCATTCATTTATTTGTCTATTAATTATTTAGACTAATTATTTTAATAATATTTCACATTGCAATAAAAGTTTGTGATAAGATTATTGTTAATTATATAAAGTTGCATAACATATATATTCTTCAGTTGGGAAGATTGACACATCAAACATCCGATTGAGTTTTTGGGATTTGGGAGGGCAGGAGGAATTGCAATCTCTCTGGGATAAAGTATGCATTCCATGTGAATAATATTCGTTCTTATTCAGTTCTTCTTACGTGTTTGCTTGTTTTGCATGTTGATGCCTTTGGGTTGTAATCATATGTCTATGGTTCTGAAAATAAAAGTTTAACATGTGTCTATGTTTCATGTTTTGTTTCTTATAATGTCGTCAATATTTATATTTTTGTTATGAACAATTATTGTTACAAACAATTCTTTAAAGTATTATGCAGAGTCCAATGCTATCATTTATGTTGTCGATTCATCAGATGAGAATAGATTAGATGAGTCTAAATCAGCATTTGGTGACTGTTTCCTCGTTTTTCTTACTAATAATGAAATGATTTAATATTTTTATTTATTCGCTAAATATTCTATTGAACTTATTTTCCATATTTTTTTAAAGTTAAGATTTAATAAAATTTTTTTATTATTTTTCATTCTCTTCTAGACCAAATGATTTCCAATGCTTCACTGCAAGGAGTTCCCTTACTTGTACTAGCTAACAAACAGGATTTACCGGTATAAATATTTATTGTTCGGTCTTCTTGTGTCTGATTGGTATTTTGTTGAAAGCATTGTGTTGTTTTAGATTAATTCGTGAAAATTTTATCAATTATTTAGGTGCTAATTTGCCATTATAATCTCAAAAACACATTTAGCTTACCTTTTCTTAATTTTTCTTTTTGAACCTCCTAGAACTGCGTTTCAATGAACATAATAGATAAGCTGTTCTGTCAGGAGCAGTCAGATATGATTCAAAGAAGTTGCAAAACACAATCTGCATCTGCTCTTACTGGGTTGGTTGGTCGGTCGTTTGGTCTGTGTGTCTGTCAACNATGTGGTTTGTATGATTGTCTATATCTGTAGAAGAGCTCTTTTTTCCGTTGCCAGTTATGTTTACTAATTAAAATTACAATTAAATTTTTCTAAAAATGATCATTGCAGGGAGGGGATTGATGAAGGAATCAAGTGGCTGGTCAATTGTATAAAGAACAACAGCTTCTTCAGACCGCCTCTGCAGACCTGATCCTTCATTGTTCAGCTCGATGTTTTTTAATTATTTAATTGCAAACACTTTCATTTGTATATGTATGTACTATAAGAATATTGTTTCATTTACGCTTTAGTTTACTCATTTACTGATATTGTTTATGTTTTAAAAATTAAAATTCTGCTGGTTATTTTTGAGACTTTTCTCTTGGGAACATTGCTAGTGAAATGATTCGTTAGAAAAAGATGACTGACAATTTTTCGTCGTCTATATGGATGGATATATATAATATAACCATATTATATCTATAGTCTATATCCATGTCTATATGTATGTGACGTTGATTATGTATATATATATATAACATATAACATTGTATATATAATATAGATATATATTATGTGTATATGTAATAAATATTTTAAGTTTATGATTGAACTATATATATATATATATATCCATGGTTCCGTTATTAAACCAATTTTTTATTAGTAACAGTTCTTTGGTTTTCAGATAGATGTACACATTACTCATTTATCGCCTGTGATGTCGTGCCATAGACTGTTCATCGTTCAGAGAGTTTGTTTTCATTTCAGTTCATGTCATGGCCGGTTGATGGTTTGAATTAGTTTGAGTGATAACTGACTAGGCCAACAATATTAACATTGCTCTTGTTTGCCTGGCTGTCTTTCAGATTACTTAAAAACGTTATTAAATTTTAATATTTTTAATTTAATTATTTTTAATAAATTTTGAAAGAGTTGTTTTAGAAAATTATAAAAAAATAGAATGGATGTGTTACCGTTTAGTTCGGGGACTAGTAGCAATGATGACATCTCGTTTGAATCTTTGGTTGGAATAATATAATTAATTAGAAATTATTTATAATTTATATTAATTAATAATTAATTTCTTTCTTTCTATTATTAATCGAATTTGACATTTTGTATGTGCTCATCTAGTATCCAGCAAGTTCAGGTTCAACCTTCACCATCTTAATTGTTTTGTTTGCTTTGTTTCCTCTCTAGAGTCTAGCGATCCTTTGTATTTTTTCGTTTTCCTGCCTTGCTCTCTCTGGTAACTTAGGAATCTTCATAATATGTATTCATCCGCAAATTTGGAGTCTTGGTGTGCTCATACATGAATATTTTATTTATTAATAAAAAAAATTCAATATCTTTCTTATATTTATATTTATCAATTTGCATTTTTGCAGTTGAATGACTTTATTTTATAAAATGGCAGGGAGTTGTGCAAGTTCTATGTGAAGCCTGCCAACGATTGAAATGGTCAAAACCAACTCCTATTCAAAAAGAGACAATCCCGGTGGCTCTGTTGGGCAAGGACATCATAGGATTAGCAGAAACTGGTTCAGGCAAGACGGGAGCATTCGCCATCCCAATCCTTCAGGATCTCCTGCAGAAACAGTCAAGGTTGTTTGCTCTCATCCTCACCCCAACCAGGGAACTTGCCTTCCAAATTAATGAAACATTTGAAGCATTGGGTGCTGGCATGAAACTCAAATGTGGTATGTTGGGTTGTGACTATTTACCATATAAAATTTCAGAAAAATTTATATAAATTTTGAATTCACTTTATGAAATTTGATCTATTCAAATTTAACTTTGGTATAGCTAGATGCCTTTAAAATTTATAATAAAATATGATTGTGATGTGCTAATAACAGTTTTTTTTTAAATTTTTTTCTAAATTTTTAGCTGTTATTATTGGTGGAGTTAATATGATGGAGCAGAGCATTATGTTGGCCAAAAAACCTCACATCATTATAGGTAGGTAGGGAGGTAGCTTCTGCTATCACGCTTCATACATTCATTCATTTTCTAATACTTTTCTATATATCAATTCTTGGGCAGATAATAATCCTTTATTTCATATTAACATATTAAACTTTTTTTTATATAATTTATTTTATTATTGCTGTTGTTATTGTTATAATTATTAGAGATATTCATTCTAATAATTTTTGATGATGACCAAATGTCTAATTATAAATTAATGAAAAATATGGTATGGTGAATGATAGCCACACCGGGAAGGTTGTTGGATCAGCTGGAGGGTGATACAGGGTTCAACCTCAACTCTCTCCAATATCTCGTCAGTCATTCATTGGATTGTTTTGTTCAGTTCATGTCCTACTTTTTTGTTTTCAAAGCTAATTATTTCTTCACATTGTTGGAGTTTTTATGATGTAATAATGATTTTAAAAGTAATGGTCTTATTAAATAAACTATTAAATGAAAATATTTATATAAATTTGAAAGGTTCTCGATGAGGCGGACAGAATTTTAAATTTGGATTTTGAAGCTGAAGTTTGTATGAATAACAGTTGTGATAATGATAAGATTAATGAATAGAAAGATGATAATGAAGATGATAATAACAGGAGATATACAATTATGCACAGGCCCACACAACAACTAGACGAAGATACGCACACTGACACACACACGCTCACACTTACACACACACTCACTCAAACTTACCCACACACACACTCTCAAACTTACACACACACACATACACATCTAGGTCAATAAGATCCTTAAAATGATTCCCAAGAAAAGGAAGACCTACCTGTTTTCTGCAACTATGACTGAAAAGGTTTGCCTCATAAGCTGTTATAAATAAATATGTGTGTGTGTGTGTGTGTGTGTGTGTGTGTGTGTGTGTGTGTGCGTGTGTGTGTGTGTGTGTGTTCATGTATACGTAATTGGGATGCATGTTATGTAAGTATTTAAGAAGACGTTATTCGTCCTGTCATATGTGCTTGTTGTTAGAAGTATTGTTGTTCTAGTTCAATTAATTTATAACCACGCCCACTATAATGCACAACAAGGTGAATGGCACTGCAAATGATTTGCAAATCTATCAATAAATCAGACTAGGTTTTATACTATTATAGCTTTCTAGACATGTGTCACTACTGTACAATAGATACAGTCTGTATTCTTTCAAGAGTGCAGACGTTGACCGAAATTAGTTTTGTTTGTATAACCTCATGACTGGCAGTGTTGTATGTTTAAATTTTCTAGTCAAAATTTTTACATATTTGACATCGAAATTGCAACTAAGAATATTTCAATCGAATCTGTTTGAACATCAGCAAATTATATTGTGCTAAAAAAGAATATTATTGCATAATAATGCTTCTACAAATCTGATGCATGACTTTTAGAATGATATAATTCTTCTTAACTTTAATTTCATTTATCTACTGTCTTCAATTCATCTATTATTTAGCATTTCTAAAAATAAAAAAAAAATAAATAAATTTGTATTATTAGTTTTTAGTAATTATTAGTTATTGAAAAAAATTGTTGATAATTAGTTAATTAATTAATAATAAATGATCAGGTGAGTAAGTTACAAAGGGCATCCCTCAAGAACCCTGTGAAAGTTGAGGTTTCAAATAAATATCAAACTTCTTCAAGTCTCACTCAGCATTATCTCTTCATCCCTTACAGGTATAAGGTGGGTTAGTTGGTTGGTTTGTGTATGTATGTTTGTGTGCGTGTGTGTGTTTGTGTGTGTTATGATGGTTGTTGATGGTGTTGCAGACCCTTCCACCATTAATTAATTATTAGAAAATGCGCTAAAATTTGAGATTTGAAATGATCATTAATAAGAGGGAAATGCAACCACCTGAAGCTTAAAAAGTATTGTGTCATCGAATATCCATTTTTTTCTCTCTAAAAAAATCGGCGATATCATGTCCGGTACTCCGCATCAAATGTTTACCTTACACCAAAGCTGATACTGAAAAATATCGCCGGTACAATATTGGCGATTTTAACAATGAGTTATCAAAATTACTCATAGTTAATAGAATTAATAGTTTTAATGGTACTAACAGAAGCTTAAAATGGAAGATAACGCTGTTTATTTTACTAATAAAGTCATTAATAATAATAATTAATTAATAATTACGCCGATGATGACAGCTTGAAAACTTGGTATATCTGTTGAACGAACTGTCTGGCAACTCGGTGATCATTTTCATTGAGAACTGTGCAAAGACTCAAGTCATCTGGCTGACACTCAGAAATCTCGGCTTCACTGCTTTTCAACTTCATGGAAAGATGGCACAGGTATGAATGGTGCATGTGTGTGTGTGTGTACATTTGTGTGTGTGTGTGTGTGTATAAGTTTATGTTTGTGTGTGAATGTGTGTAGGCGCTCATGTGTTTGTATGTGAACGTTTGTATTATGCGATAATACTTTTGTTTTTGGCATTTTTGAATGTGGAATGATCATCATGAACTATTAACGTTAATGTATTTCCTTAAACAAAGCATATTAAATTGAAAATAAATGACATCCTTTTTATATTTCTAACAATTTTGTTTATTTTTTAATATTATAATGGTACGTTTTATACATTTTTGTGCAGAACAAACGACTCGAAAGTTTAAGTAAATTCAAAGAGAACGACAGATCCATCCTCGTTTGCACTGATGTAGCGAGCCGGTAACTAAATACATCAGCGTTGTGAACATCATCATTGCTTCAATCTTGCTTTGTTATCATTTTTCCATATCTGCTGCCCAACTATAACTTCCATTAGAACCGATTATTAAAATTTATTGACTAATCTTTAAAAATTCAAATTCACTCAGTGGTTTGGACATCGCCCATGTTGATGTCGTCGTCGTTTACAACATGCCCACGCGCACCAAGGATTATATACACAGGTAAGTTCTTATTAGAGTGTCGAAGTCTGATCCTGGTTCTTATGTTGTAGTTGTAACATTATCATCACATATGCTAGCTGCGGATTAATTTAATTTCTTCAATATTGGAATAAAAATGTTCTCAAAACAGTTTTATGAATATATCACAAATTGCTACCGGCATCACATACACATAGAGTTGGTTTAAATATTTAATAAATACGTGAATACGTTAAACGTGTTTTTGTTGCATAAATAGGGTTGGAAGAACTGCTCGAGCTGGGAGATCTGGAAAGGCTTACATCTTCGTCACTCAGTCAGTTTATTTTTTTGTATTGTATCTAAAACAGTGTCACTAATGCTTAATGTAATTTTAATGTTGTTGTTAGCTATATTGACATCATCCTTTCAGATATGATGTGGAAGATTATCTGAAGATTGAAAAACTTCTTGGGTATCAGATACCCAAACATACAATACCACAGGACGACGTATTGTGTCTGCAGGAAAGATGTGCTGAGGCCACAAGGGCCGCAAAATATGTACGTATGTTGGATCATTTGTTGGAGTTTTGCATATTGGTGTTATTCTATGTATTTTATGTTATTATTGATTACCGTATTTTTTATTTTATTAGCAACTGGCTGAGGCAGAAAAGAAAGGAACAAAACAGAAACGAATTAAAGATAGCAATAAAGGTGAGAACGATGATACCGAAGAAGCTAGTGGTGTAAGAAAAAAATTTAAAAGAAAGAAATAATTTACAATAAATATTTTTGAAATTCTTCGTTTAAGTTTTTTTAAATGCGTAATAAATAATTAACTTTTTCGAACTTATGAATAGAAAATAAAATCTCAAACTCATATACATATCGTAGGTTGGTTGAACGACAAAGCTTTATCAATTTTCTTTAAAAAACTGTTAATTGTTTCATAATTTCCGATAGATGAAATATAAGAAAGTCGGTTATTTCTTAGCATGCTGTAGTGCGTCTGCATCACTTGTATGTATTTTGCATATTATTATGAAACGCTTGTATATATCTCTTCTATATTGTTGTAACCATTGGCTCCCGTAACTACAGCACCAATGTTATAACTTCAGTGATGTCGGAAGCTACAACATCAACGTTGTAGCTTCCAACGATAGTCAAGTGCTCGTTGTAACTTAGGTTCAAGATTTCCGATTGATAGATGAACACAACTGCTTCAAAAGCAAACTTTTTTTGAATGTTTATTTGAATGCCAACAGTAATTGAAACACTAAACTAATCAAAGTGACTATATAAGTCACATTTACGACTTCGCTTCGAATCTCGCCGCAAACCTGACTCAAACCTGACTGACTTCAGTATCCACGCAGGACCTATATAGTCTGAACATAGATTTTTACGATGTCCTATTATGATTCTCAATCCAAAACTTAAAAATATAAAAATAATTATTAGTATAACAAATAATATAGCGCAATTTGATCATTCCTGCGGTTATAATAGCATATACAAATATATTTTACATATGTGAGCACAAGGGGAGGCCTATTTACCAGCATACAACACCTTCTTATGGGTTGAAGCAGGAATATGCAAAGAACCTCAATTTTTTCAACTTTTAATTATTTTCAGTAATGTCTCCCCTTGCTCCAAACCACATAACTAGAATAATAGGACTAATCGATCTATCGGTCGGGCTATTTGTCGTGCTTGGATTGTTGGCTTACGAAATTGCATGGATTTTAACGATCAAGCTCAATGAAATATTTACTTGATTTAATATGCTTAAAACATTGTAGAAATTCTATTTAATTTTAATAATGATTAATAGAATTATGTATGATTAAATTATTTTTGTTAATTTGAATATAAAAATTGCTTTTGGTCCGGTGAAATCCGGTGGCTTACTGAAGCCGAAGGTTGGCTTAGTAGGATTGAACTATAGTCACCCTTTTTTTTACACTATTCGATCATGTTAAAAATTGATTTGCTTATGAAATAAACGGCCTAAATAAATCAAAATTGTTATTTGAACAACTATCTTCATTATATTCAATGAATATTTTACATTCTGCTGGTGCTCATAAGAAACTGGCTGCTGAAATCATACGTTGGCTTACAGCAGTGGCTTACAGGGTTTCATAGAACTCTTACGATAGCACTTTTTTGTATATATAATGCTTTAAATAAATTAATATATTCATATCACAATTATTTTTGTCAGTATAAATATAGAAATTGCTTTTGTCAGGTGAAAAACAGTGGCTTACTGAAGCCGTAGGTTGGCTTAATCGGATTTTTTCTCATGTATACAATACTATGAGATAAATCAATCAAACAATCAGTCAGTCAGTCGGTCGGTCGGTCAGTCAGTCAGCCAGCCAGCCAGCCAGCCAGCCAGCCAGTCAGTCAGTCAATCAATCAACCAACCGATCAATCAACCGATCTATCAATCAACTAGATTGAATGAACCAAATAAACAAAAATAAAAACAAAAATAAATAAAAAAATTTTCAAGGCCTGTTCAAACTCAAACAAACAGTTAACCGTACAGATCTACAAACAATTTCGAGATTTTAGTAGAGAAAGAAAAACACAGTAGTTGCTTTTATTTGAATTCATTCAAATGAAAAGTGACGGTTAATTAAAATTTTAAAATGTCAATTTTTTTTAAAATTCGTATTTTAAATAAACAAATATAACAAAATATCGACCGATAAAAATAATTTTTATCCATTATTATTATTATCATACACACTCCTTAGAAGTTCTCGAAGGATAATACACCACGTAACATGAACATTTAGTAAGAACAGTTCACAACAAAATCAGTATACTAAACAGAAATAATTTATACATGCATATATACAAAGTAATTCAAGAGATATCCAAAAATTATATAACCAATTTAAAAAAAAACTAGAAACCAGTCAACATTTAATGAATAAATAAATAGACATTATTAAAAAGATTGTCCAAAAAGGTACAATTTAAGGCGACGACGAGAATGAAATGTAGTTTGTTTTGTTGGTGTGGTGTTGTGAAGCGAAAACAAACACATCACACAAAACTAGTAAGAAGTCGCAAGAATAAGTCAGTCACCTACCTATAATAAAATTACTCTCAGGGCCCTAGCTTACTTATAAACATTGACTCAACTCATACAAATTTGTATTTCTCGTTTTAGATGTTTCAAGTATTTTATTTAACATATTTTAGCGTTTTTATTTTACTTGAAGCTTTTTAACTAATGTTAAGCCCTAGCCTACCTACAATTGTTTAACTCATCTCAGTCCCTAACTTACCTATGAATTAAATTAAAGCCTGGTTCACGGTAAAGAAAATATAAAGTTGAAGAGAAACATAGCAACAACGACACCGAATGAATGGATGTTGTGTATGTATGTGTTGTATTGATGTGTGTGTATGTAAATGTGCGGGCGCGCACTTTCCAGAAACTTCAGTCACTACCGACGAACCTCCATTGCACCGACCATCATCTGACACGCATCGATGGAATGAATTTGACCGGATACTGAAAAATAAATTGAAAAAAATTCACTAAAATAAAAAACAAGCAATTGGAAAAAATAGGCAACTTATCTTTTGAGATAACACTCAATCTTTGTTCAAATTCGAGTACTTTCAAAGGTACAATGAGACAAAAACAAATTTACCTTTAACATTATCTTCGATTTGTCATCGGAACGATCATCATGAGACCACCACCATCTGAAACGTGCTGACGCCCACCACAGCCCACCTCTCATCATTCTGTAGACAAGTTTTTATTAATTAGCGAAGTAGTAAATCAAGAAACAAAGGAACGAACGAATAAATGATTAACTAAATGATTGAACGATTGGTTGAATGAATAAATTAACTAATTAATTAATCAACCAATGATTTAATGAATGAATAGAATGAATCAATAAATAAACTGAGGAATAATTTGAAAGATAGTGATAAAATGAATGAATGAATGAGAAAAATAAAAAAAAGAAACTAAATCATACTTCAAAAACCGTCGTTGTTGTTATCTTCGAATTGTCATCGGAACGATCATCATGAGACCTCCATCTGAAACGTGCTGATGCCCACCACAGCCCACCTCTCATCATTCTGTAGACATTTTTTTAATAGCGTATTAGTAAATCAAGGAACAAAGGAACGATCGAATAAATGATTAACTGAATGATTGAATAATTGGTTGAATGAATGAGTGAATGAATGAATTAATTAATTAATCGATGATTCAATTAATGAATAGAATGAATTAACGAATCAATTAATAGAAGAATAATTTAAAAGGTTGAGTGATAAAATGAACGAATGAGAAAAATAAAAAACGAAACTAAACCTTACTTCAAAAATCGACGTTACTGTATTTTCCATTGCACCGACCACCACCATCTGGTCGGCACACAAAATACCATCCGAACTTCAGAGTGTCAGTCGAACAGCTAACGAGCTGATTCCTCCTACACCACCATCATCATATGTAAATCATCATGAGACCACCATCTAAAACGTGCTGACTCCCACCACTGCCCACCTCTCATCATTCTGTAAACAAAATTTTTTTATTTGCGTAGTAGTAAATGAATGTTAGAATCTTAGAAGCAAAAAAAATTAAATTATAAAATGAAAATAATGTCAAATAAATAAAATTTTAAAATAATAAAGTAAAATGTAAAAAAAACTTACCGTCGTCCATTCGACAAAGGCAGAATGTTGAATGCGGTCCGGTTCCTACGTTGTCCTCCAAAACTGGTGCCAGTCCTCCTCGAGATTGTTGTTGAAACACAGCCCGTGTTGATGGAGAAGATAGAGAAAGAGTAGATTCTCATCAGAAAGCTTAGCGGTGCCTAATAAAAATAATCCTATCTACCTATTCAATTACCTTAACTAATCTTTATTAAATTGTTAATGGTACGATAGTCGAAAGTCCCCCTTCATTCTCCCTCCTTGCACAGAGGTTCACCGACAGCTAGGACACCGGATAGTAAATCATTGCCGTGCGGATAGTAGACTATTGATGTGCGGATAGTAAACCATTTGCCGTCCGGAAGCCGTGCGGGTAGTAGACTATGGCCATGCCGCATAGTAAATCATTACCGTGCAGATAGTAAACCATTGCCGTCCGGATAGTAAACCATTGCCGGTTCACCACTGGCCACCAAGGCTTACCCCTGACAAGAGACTTCGAAATTCAGAGTCATCGGCTATCGTAACCCTCATCTTACCTATTCATTACAATTAAGCACTAGCTTACTTAAATTTACAAAACTCAAGAGCCCAATTCATTGGCCTTTCGGCACCCACCCCACCACCTACGTAATGCCTTGGGCTCCAACTTAGTAATAATAATATAAAACTTAAACCCTAAATCTATTAATGAGTATGTGTTACAACGTAGCCTTAACTTACCTATTCATTACATTATGGCCCTAGCTTACCTAAAATTACAAAACTCAAGAGCCCAATTCA